TTTAGAGCTAGGAGGGATTTTAGAAGCCCTCTAGCCCAATCCCCTCTTTTTACAGACTAGGAGAGGCTAAGTCACTTGCCCGTAGTCAAACATCTAGTAAATGCCAGAGGTGAGATTTGAATACAGGTTTTTTCAAACTCTGAGTCCATCACTCTCATCTACTATATAAGGATGTTTCTGTGGGGATTTGAGGTATTTCAGAAACTCCTTGTCATGGAAACTAGAAATTGGAAAACACCGGGGCCTTTTTTTTCTTTGCTTTTGTTTTGTTTTTACTGTCTCGGGGTTTTTACTATCTCTCCAATGCAATCATGTTGTACTGGGTTTTCTCTTTCTTTCTGCTGTGCGATGAAGGAGAATGTAAGCAAGGAAATTGAAAATGTAAACATGACCTTTTCTCTGTGAAACTATAAGAAGGTAAAAGATCATCCCAGCAGAGAAAAATCAAAGGCTAAACAATGGCCACATGCAAAGGCTTTTGATGCTAAACTGCCCTGAAGCTCCAGCACAACCAGGAGCCAAAAGCTTAGAAGATGAGCAATCCCTGCCTTTTTTTCATTATAAATATCATGGTTCTGATTATCTACTTGTGCAAAACTCAACAACAACAACAACAAAACACAGCTTTACTTCATTTTTCAGTGTTTTGATCTGCTTAGTCATCATTCCCTCCCCCCCTCCCCCCCAAATCTATGGAAATAGGTAAACTCTTGCAGCTGCCTCTGGAACAAAGTCCAAATATTTTGCCTCCCTCGTTAATGGGCGCCATCTGGTGGCAGAGAATGTGTTTGTATGGGCACAGTGTCTGGAGCGGCTCTGGAATCAGGAAGACTCATCTTCCTAAGTTCAAATCTGGCCTCACTCACTTACTAGCTGTGTGACCCTGGGCAAGTCGCTTAACCCTGTTTGCCTCAGTTTCCTCAACTGTAAAATGGGCTGGAGAAGGAAATGGCAACCCACTCCAGTATCTTTGCCAAGAAAACCCCAAAGGGGATCACAAAGAGTTGGACACGACTAAAACTACTGAACAGCAACAGCAGAATCCCAACTATACTAAGGTTAAATCCATTTTCTACTGTGTGGGTAGCCAGGAAAGCATTATTAATATTATTATTATTATTACTATTTTTTTTTGGTGAAGCAATTGGGGTTAAGTGACTTGCCCAGAGACACACAGCTAGTGAGTGTTATGTGTCTGAGGCCGGATCTGAACTCAGGTCCTCCTGACTATAGGGCCGGTGCTCTGTCCACTGCGCCCCCTAGCTCCCCTCAAGAAGGCATTATGGCAAAAATTAAGGACCACCTGTTGAAAGGTTGATGAGTGAGATGGAACACATTTTGTTCAAATCTGAACATAGAAATGACTCTAATTTAAACAATGATTGAATGCAAATTAACGAGAAAGGCAATGGATTGCACCAAGGCACTAACTTACTTAACTCTTGCTTTGATTTCATGTTATTTTCATAAATATAGTGGCAAATGAGTATTTAATAATTAAATAAAGTATTTAATAAAGAGTTGCATTTTTATGGAAAAAGTATATCATCTAGACACCACCATCCATCTAGTGACAGTATATTCAACCCATAGATATAGTGCCTAAGAAGAAGTGAATAGCCCCCAAGGTTTGGCAATCCCAAACCTTTATCTTAGGTTATGACAACAAAATTCCAGGAAGAGAGGAAAAGGAATGAGGGTGAAATCCTCTGGTTTGGGGAGAGAGAGAAGAAGAGGACAGAAAAGGATGGGAAGAAGAAAAGGATAGATAATAAGGAAGGATTGGAATGAGGAAGAAGATGAGGTGGGCATACAGGTCCTGACTGTCGGTTTTCTAGAAAAGAGTTGCATGTATATTGTAAGATGATCAGTTGTGAATGACTTAGCTATTCTCAGCAATACAATGATCCAAGACAGCTCTGAAGGACATATGATGAAAAATGCTATCCACCTCCTGAGAAAGAACTGATAGAGTCTGAATACAGATCAAAGCATACTTTTTTTAACTTTATTTTTCCTGGGATTTTTTGGGTCTGTGTTTTCTTTTACAATATGACTAATATGGAAATATGTTTTGCATGACTACACATGTATAACATATCTTGCCTTCTCAGTGTGGGGGGAGAGAATTTGGAACTAAAAATATAAAGAATGAAAAAAAATTTTTTTACATGTAATTGGGGAAAAATAAAATGGTAAGTAATAAGTGAAAAAAAAAGAGAGAAGAAAAGAGTTCTATGTAGTGCCCTCTCCCTGGGCCCAGAAATTTCTGTGCAAGTCTAGTTCACTGCTTGCCCCAAGCCTTACTAAAGTGAACTCCAACATTGTTGCCTGATAGTATCCTGGAAACAGGTGGGAGAGTTGTTCCAGAGGTTAAGTAACTCATGGCATGGGAAGAATACTTGATAAGTATCCCAAGAGTCTGGTTTCTCAACTTTGCACTATGTGGACATTTTCCTTTTATATCCCATTCCTTAATCTCCTTCTTTAAACTGTCTCTTTTCCTTTTCCATCCTCCTATGCCTTGGTCTTACCATGGCAATAACTGTCAGAAATGGGGGTTCCATAGAGAACAGGGCTAGCTGGTATTTGGAGACCCATGATGGCAGGGCAGCCAAATGGGTAGGGGTGAGTGTCCCAGAAGCAGGCAAAAAGAGGTCAAGATGGGCTGAAAGTCAGCATGAGGGAGGTCCAGCTATGGATCTTGGGCAAATGTCTGAGGAAGAGCAGTGTGTGTGTGTGTGTGTGTGTGTGTGTGTGTGTGTGTGTGTGTGTGTGTGTGTGTTTCACAGTTGAGAAGCAGGAGGAAGGGTACTTGATTCAATAAGGAAAAATCCGTGTTTGAATCCTAACCCCAAGTCTGATTAGCTATGACCTTGGGCACATCATTTGACATCTTTGAAGCTGTGTCCTTATCTGTGTGGGGGCACTTGCATCACTTGCCTCACAGAGCTATCTTAAGGAAAGTGCTTTGTTCATCTTAAAGTACTTTAGAGAGGTGAACTAATGAAAGTTAGAAGTTCAGAGGAGGCAGGAAGTCAGCATCTGAGAGCAAGTAGTAAAGATGGAGACATGGAGACTGGGCAGGACTCTAGTCCCTGACAATATTACTGTGGGACAAGTCACAAGATCTCCCCAGGCATGAAGCAGGGAATCAAGGCTTTGAGGTACATGTGGAGGATATAGGCAGAACAGGACTATAGTTATTGGAACTGGGGTCCAAGGCAGGGAGGGGCTTGATCACAGGGAATGAGGTAAGAGCCCAGCTACAAGAGGCAGGTACATTGAGTAGGATTAAGGACCTTGAGTTTCTGGCCTATGTCTCCTTATGTTTCCCCCTCCCATTTATCAGTTGGGGAATGTCTCTTATATTTATAAACTTCACAGTTCTCCACATATTTGAGATATGAGGCCTTTATCAGAGCAATTTGCTGGAAAAATTTTTTTCAGTTATAATTGTATATTTCCCTCCATCCTATTTTCTCCATTTCTCCTACTCTCTCCTTTTACCCTGTCCATCCTTAAGTGTTTTGCTTCTGATTACCACCTCCCCCAATCTGCCCTCCTTTTATGTGAGATTATTTAGTCCATTCTACCTCTTCCTTTCCCCTTCTCCCAGTGCATTTTTCTTTCTCACTCTTTAATTTTATTTTTTAGATATCCCATCATATTCAACTCACACCTGTGCCCTCAGTCTATGCATGCTCCTTCTAACTACTCTAATAATGAGAAAGTTCTTAGGAGTTACAGGTATCATCTTCCCATGCAGGAATGTAAACAGATTAACCTTATTGAATCCTGTTATAATTTCTCTTTCTCTTTACTTTTTTGTACTTCTTTTGAGTCTTGTATTTGATAGATTTTCTATTCAACTCTGGTCTTTTCATCAGGAATGTTTAAAAGTCCTGTATTTCATTGAATATTCATTTCCCCCCTGAAGGATTATGCTCAGTTTTGCTGGGTAGATGATTCTTGGTTGTAATCTTAGCTCCTTTGCCTTCTGGAATATCATATTCCAAGCCCTCAAGGACTTTAATGCAGAAGCTGCTAAATCTTATGTGATCCTGACTCTGGTTCCATAATATTTGAACTGTTTCTTTCAGACTGCTTACAATATTTTTTCCTTGACCTAGGAGCTCTGGAATTTGCTATAATATTATTGGAAATTTTCATTTTGGAATCTCTTTCAGGAGGTGATGGGTGGATTCTTTCCATTTCTATCTTACCCTCTGGTTCTAGGATATCAGGGCAGTTTTCCTTGATAATTTCTTGAAAGATGTTGTCTAGGCTCTTCTTTTGATCATGGCTTTCAGGCATTCCAATAATTCTCAAATTCTCTCTCCTGGATCTATTTTCCAGCTCAGTTGTTTTTCCAGTGAGATATTTTATACTTTCTTCTATTTTTTCATTCTTTTGATTTTGTTTTATTGTTTCTTGATGTCTCTTGCTTTTTAAATATTGTGATAACTAAATCTAATTGGTTTCCTCTGTAATCCTTTGTATTTTATTTATTTAAAACTATGATTCTGAGAAAGGGTTCACAGGCTTCACTCAACTGCCCAAGGGTCCGTGACACAGAAACCCTTGTGCTTATCCTACTGCTCCATACTATGCTGCATCCCAAGGCATTCTACTTTTTCACCTCTCTAGGCCTGTTTCCTTTTCTGTAAAATAGGGATAATTAAGTTTTCCCAGCTAATCAAGGCTATTGGGGAGATCAAATGTGATCATGAATATGGAAGCACTTTAAAAAAAAGTTCAAACAGCTTCTGCTGATTTTTTATTTTTTAGGCAATTGGGGTTAAGGGACTTATCCAGGGTCACACAGCTAGTAAATGTCAAGTGTTTGGTCTGAGGTCACATTTGAACTCAGGTCCTTCTGGCTTCAGGGCCGGTGCTCTATCCATTGCTCCACCTAACTGCCCCTGCTGATTGTTTTTAATAATCTGAACTCTATCTCTGTACCAACCATTGTCAGGACATAAAAGACAAAAGACAAATAAATTCTACATAATTTACTTCTGCACTTTTCAAACACTGAGTTTCCTAACAGGGTTTTTGGGGAAAGAGTTGAGATGAAGTAACTTGAAACAAGGAGGGATATTGTGCCCTTGGTCAGGGCCCAGGGGCATGGCTGTACTCCCCTTGGGAAGTGCTTTGTCTTGGGGTCAGGACAGCTGTAGAGAGGTAAGGGGTAGATCCAAACAGCAGCTCTGAAGTTTTCCAAGTTGGGTACTGCCATTGAGAGGAGAAGCCAGGACATCTGACCAGAACAGCATCCCTCTCATTTGTGTGGCCTCCCAAAGGCATGCTAGGCCCTTCTTTGACACCATTCCCACTGGGAAGCTCATGCCACACTGGCATCCAGATGTATGTACAAGCCATGTTCTGGGCTGCGGCCAGGTAAGAATGCCTGAGGCTGCATGAGATGATTTTCTTGGCAGAGAGGGTTATAAGGAGAGGCCCCAAAATCCTTTTAGTCTGACTGTTGGGCCACTTGCTTTCAGGACTCTGAAGGCTGTGAAGATCAGAGAATAAAGTGTCTTGGGCTTTCTTGCCTCATTTCTAGGGAGGCCCAGGTTCCACGATATTGGAGTTTTTCAGATGCATATTGATAAAGAAGGAGTCTAAGAGAAAGCAGAGGGACAGTAAGCCAGTCCCCAGCAGATCCCCCATTCCAGTGAGGTAGGGGATGCAGTGGCTGTCAGGATCCTGGGACCGGTGCCATACCAGCCTCACCATTATCTCTGCCAGGTATAGTAGGATCAGCACCTAGAGAGGGGAACAAAGACAGCAGAATCATTGCCTGAGCTAGGGGGTAGGGTCCAGGACAGGGAATGAAAACAAAGGTCAGTCAGGCCAGGAACTGGGGGTCACCAGCGAAAAACCGAAAAATATAGTCTTGAAGCCTAAGGGACCAACGAATACAAACAACAGTTAGGGTCGGTATAGACCAGGGGTTCTTAGACTTTTTGGAGTTACAGAACCTATTAGCAGCTGAACAACAGCTAAAATTGGTATGGGATAGGCCAGGGGTCCTTTGCCTTTTAGGTCATGGACACCAATGGCAGCTGAAAATAGCTAAGGTTGGTATATATCAGGGTTCTTATCCTTTTTCTGGGTCATAGAAACAATTAGCAACCTTGTAAATTCTGAAGACCTCTTCTCAGAATAATGTTCTGAAATGCATAAAATAAAATAGAGTGCCTGGCACATAGTAGGTACTTACTAAATGTTTGCTGACTTGACAAAGGAAACAAATTATATTTAAATACATTTATAAAAATATAAGTGCCACCCCCCCCACACACACCAAGTGCACAGACCATAGGTTAAGGACCCTTGGAATATAGATATTACACTATTCAGGCACGTTTCAAATAATCAACAAGCTTTTCCTTTGTGCAAGACCTATAATGGAAGCACTATTTTCTATGTGAAGCCTTACCAACTGCCAAGGTCCTGCCTCCCTAACTATATTGTGTTTATTCTAAATATACTTATATTTGCACATATCTTCTCCCTGAATAGAATGTAAACTCCTTGAGAGTGAGGGATTAGAATCTAAATCTACTGACTCCCAACGCAGGGCTCTTGACTGCAGTCCTTGAATCATCCAAGTGCATTTGAATAGACCAGCATTTTAAGGATGGAAGGATCTCTAGCATCTACTTTGCAGAGGAGTAAATTGAGCCTCAGAAAGTGGAAGTGGTTTGCTCAATATTACACAGGTAGAAAGTGGCAGAGCTGAGCCTGACACTCGGCTGAGTCCAGTGGTCTTTCTGCTATGCCACCTATTTGGCTCTCAGAGCATTAGCATCAGAATGTCTGAGCTGTAAGGGACCTAACCCACCTGTCCTCCCAGGGTAGGAATCCCTTCTATCAGAGAGGATCACCCAGCAAGTGTCTGAACACTTCCAGTGACAGGGAGCTCCCTCCCTTCTGAGGCAGGCCACTTGAGTGCTGGACAGCTCCACTGGGACTGTCAGAACTTCCTTATACTCCACCTCCCCAGCACTTAGGAACAAAGATTTAGAGCCAGAAGGTCTAGAGAGGCTCTCTAGTCTTACAGTCTTATTTATGGACAAGGAAACTGAGGCCTGGGATGGGGAGTAGGTGAAGTAACTTTCCCTAGGTCACATAGGTAGTAAGTGACAGGCAGGATTGGAACACAGTGCCTCCAACTCCAAAGTCCAGGGATCTCAGTGGTGCTCCTTTTGCACTCTGAAATCACATGGAGCAAATCGGCTTCTTCCACATACAGACATTCCTTCAGATATTTGAAGACCACAATTACCAGTAACAGCAACAACCCCCTGCTAGGAACCTTAGCCATCAAATGTTCCCCTCTACAATGACTTTGTTGCGTGATGGGATTTTTCATGTTTGGTGGGATGAGTTCTGGGGGGTGGCTTTTCCCCGCTTGGGGGAAGGGCTGCTGATACCCTGCTTTGGGACACTCGCTGGGTGTCCCTGGGACTCTCAGAGGAAGGCTCTTTGTAGCTGGGGGGGGAGCAGGGTGGGGAAGCCTCGAGTCAGGAGTGGAATCTCTGGGTCCTGGCCAGATGGAGCGGTGGCCACAACTGATGCACATTTTCCATGATTACGAACAGCTTTATGGGGAAAAGTTCCTTGAGGGGGAAAAGGCAGCTGTTCCCCATAATTCTGGCTTAGCTTAAATCTGGTTAAGTGGCATTCAGGCAGGAGGGGGCTCATTATGATATTTTCCTTTGGTTCCACCGCCTTTGCATAAAAAAAGGAATCATGCATAACTGAGACTCCTTTGCCCCAGAGGGACAGTGACCCGCAATCCTGTTTTTGGCTGGCTCCTCTCCTCACTCTCCCCTGGATGAACTGTTTTCATTCCAGCCTCCTGGCTTTTACTCATGCTAATTCACTATTTCTCTTGGAATGCCCTCCCCATCTCTTCTCTGCCTAATCTCCATCTTACCCATTCTTCTAGGCCCAGCTGAAGCCTCAACTCCTCCATGAAACCTTCCTGGACTGCCCTAGCTTAGTCTGCTCTTCTCTTCCTCTGAGAGTCTGTATACATAATTCAGCAATCACTACCTTTTTTTTTTAAATAGGTGTATACTTTGTGTCTTAGATTGTAAGCTTCTGGAAGGCAGGGACCATGCTGATTCTCCCTGCAGTACTGAATGGCTGAGTGTAAATATCCAATAAAGATTTGTTTGATATTAACAGCTAACCCAATGGAACTGACTCTTTGGAGGAACAAAATTCAATTTTAAAAGCATTTATTAAGCACCTACTGTGTGCAAAGTCCTGCATTAGGTTCTGTGGGTGACAAAAAAAGAATTAATCAAGTCCCTGTCTTTAAGGAGCTTACTGTTCATTAGGGTAGATAAGACAAGTACATGAATTATTAGTATATAAAGAGCTTGAGACATCAGAGTATTATCAGAGTACAGAGGGAAGAGTGATCATTTCTGCCTGAGGGTGGGGAGCTGGGAAGGCCTTATGGAGAAGTGGCATTTGAACTCAGCCTTGAAGGATGGGTAATGGTGAAGGTGAAAGAGAGGGAGAGAAGGGGAGGGAGAGGGAGAGAAGTGTGTGTTTAGAAGAGGGGGAGAAGTATTAGCTGTATTCTAGGTAGATATATGGCATAAGGTGGCAGTTAGGTGGCAGAGTGGATAGAGCACCCAGCCTGGAATCAGAAAGCCCTGAATTAAAATCTGTCCTAAGACACTTCTAGCTGTGTGACCCTGGGCAAATCACTTAACCTTGTTTGCCTCGGTTTCCTTATCTGTAAAATGAGCCAGAGAAAGAAATGACAAATTACTCCAATATCTTTCAAAGAAAACCCCAAGTGGGGTTGTGAAGAGTTGGACATGACTGAAAAATGACTGAGCAACAATATAGCACGAGAAGATGTGTGGCTTTGTGGATAGAAGGGCAGTCTTAGATTGGGACCTAGGTTCAAATCCTACCTTTGACATAGCCTGGCTTTGTGAATGAACCTCTCCTGGCAACTCCCTAAGATGAAGTTACAGATTGTATTGATGGAGGGCATTTACATTCTGATGAAGTAAGGTGGCCCAGGTGTGGAAGGTGGGAATCTTGTCTGTGGAACAGTTAGTAAACAGTTTAAGCCTCAGGATGGGTCGGCTGAGCGGGAAACTCAAAAGTGCATGCTTGGTTAGAGGGGGGCAAAGAGGATTTTAGCCATCCACCAACCAATAAGCATCGACTAAGTGTTTACTATGTCAGTGTCTGTGCTAAGTGCTGGGGATACCAGGAAAGGCAAAATGATCCCTGTCCTCAAAGAGCACGCAGTCTAATGAAATCAGAAATATGCCAGGGTGTCATCAGCTTAGAGATTATGTCTGATGCCATAAGCTTCAAGCTGAGTTCCAGGAATACACCCCATCAGACCTTCTCATATCAAATTATGTTCTACCCCAGAAGAACAGTCCTTAGAAGGAAACCCTTAGCCAGGTGAAGCGGCCTCCATAAATCTGAGGGCCTGCCACCAAATGGGGTCTCACTCAGGATATGTACAGTGCACTGGGAGGCCGGAGAACACCGGGCAGAAAGCCAATTTAAATTCTAAGGGACTGAATCAGCTAGGGTGAAGTTTTAATTCCCAGAAGCTCAAGTCACTGGATGCCTCTCCCAGTGGCTGGCCTAGCATGGTGGGAACTGCCTGGCCCATTCCAAAGAATAAGCCAAACCCTGTTCTTCCAGAATCCTTCATCCTCCTCTCCTTGAAGCTCCTCTTGTGCTGATCTCCATCATTCTGCATAACAATAATCATGGAATCACAGAATTTAGAGTCCAAAAGGGATCTCAGTGGCCACCAGACCCAAGTTCTTAACCTTTTGGTTTTTTTTTTTTTTGGCATTTTGGCACCATTGGCAGTCTAGTGAAACTCACGGATCATTTTTCAGAGTCATGTTTTTAAAACGTATAAAGTAAAATACATTGGATTATAAAGGAAGCCAATTAAATTGAAATAGTTATTAATATATTTAAAAAAAAGTCCACTGACCCCAGGCTAAGAATTCTTGATCTAGTCTAATGTTTATTAGAAAAAACCCGCTCCTATAACATACTTGACAACTGGTCATCTGATATCTGTTTGAAGGTGGACCTCCACGAGAGGCATCCATGACCTCCTCTCACATCAAGCTGACATTTGCCTCTTTGCACCTTTACTCTCACACAGCTGACATTCTACCAAGGCCAACAGGTCCACAGGTAAGCATAATACAACACAGGTGTAATGGGGGCAAACCCAGAGAAGGTTTGAAGAAGGAGAAAATCCTTTCTACAGGGGCTAGGGATTTGGGAAGGCTTATAATATCATACATATATGGCGGAATTCTCATTCAGATCCACCTATATCTGGGCTGGCTCTAGTTTGTCAAAAACTGAAGACAGGCGCAGCTATGTGGCTCAGTGGATAGAGCACCGGCTCTGAAGTCAGGAGGACCTGAGTTCAAATCTGGCCTCAGACCAAACACTTGACACTTACTAGCTGTGTGACCCTGGGTAAGTCCCTTAACCCCAATTGCCTAAAAACTAAAAAAACAAAACAAAACATAAAACAAAAACAAAAAACCTGAAGACAGTACTCCAGATGTATCCCAGCCAGACCAGTGGACAGTGGGGTCATTCCTTCTCTTTTTCTGGACAATATATCTCTTCTTGACACAGACTTAGAATGAATTCATTTTTTTCAGGCTGCATGTCATGGATTCACATGGAGCTTGCAGGCTACTCAGATCCTCAGATCTTTCTCTGAAGTCCTGTTCTCCAGCTACTCTCCTCCAAATCTTTACCTGGGTCAATGAAGCAACCAGATAAAAGACCACAAACAGCAGATTTATCTCAATCTCCCCTTTCTCCATCATGTAAATAAAGAAGAGGAACATCAGATGGCCAGGGATGACCAGCAACAGCAGCACTCGGGCAGACACAGAGTTGATTTCTGTAAGAAATAAAAGACAGAAGGATTGAGCCTGAGGCTGGATTAAGGAGCTGCCTTTCCTGGCGATGAGCTCTATGACAGATGGATCCAAGTGTGGCTAACTTTAGCTGACACAAGGTTAGGAAGGGAAACATTCTCATGGGAAATACACCAGGGGATCAGAAGAGATGAATTCATTGCAAGGCTCAACTTGTGGACACAATAAGCAAAAGCAGAAAAATGTACTTTCTGGTAGAGTGTTGGGAGGTCTGAGTTCTGGCCATCACTAGCTATGCTGTGTGATCCTGGGCAAGGCATCTTTTTTTGGGGGGGGGTGGTTGTTGAACTCTACCTGGAAGGCAGTGGCACTTTCTGGCAGTACCCGAAGACAGCCCCACCCCCACCCCCATGATCACCAGCCCAGCCAGAGCACACTCAGGCAATGAGAAGGGGATCAGAGTTTTGGTAGGAATGGGGCTTGGTGTTTCTATCCAGGCCTAAATTCCTTCCATTTCCCCAATCCTACATCTGACCTTGAAGCATCTTGGTGAGTTGGGTAGAACACTGGACTCAGAAAGACCTTAGGCACTTAGCAGCTGTGAGCTTTGGGACCCTGGCTAAGTCACACTGAGCCTCAGTTTTTTCATCTGTAATGGAAGGAGCTAGACCTGATGCCCACTAAGGTCCTTTCTAACTCTTCATGTATGAATCCATTCTTTATCTAATCTCTTTTCCCTTCAGGAGAGAAGTGTCATGTAGCAGAAAGAGGGTGGGGTTGAGAGCTCAAGATTTGCCCTGATGCTTATCCTCTTGGCAACTCTGGGCAAGCTGCAATTTATTTTCATACTCAAATACGAATGACATACCTTATACCTTTCTTCCTGCAAGAAGGCTTTATTGGGAGGATAGAAGAAGACAGCTGGCATTGAAAGGGGAAGGGAGGGGTGTCAATGAGAGCTACCAGAGTCTTAGGCAATAACAGGGGTCAAAGGTGACTGACCTCGAAACTCTACCGTGTGCACCTGTGCCTACCCATGAAAGTCATATGCCAGTGACTCATTACTTTAAAGCCAAAAGTTTACCAATGTAATGATCTGCCTGGACTCACCTGAAGAACAGAAAGTAGCACATGGATCGGGGTAGAAGCTCCTCATATTGTGTGGCAGGACTCCAGGGGAACTCCAGGAATACAGGTAGGTAGAGATCCGGCTGGCCTGGATAGACACCAAGTTACCACCAACACCTAGAAGACAACCAAGTCTTGACTCTATCTCCCTCCTCCTCCCCTTCTTCCTCCTTCTCTCTCTGGCCTTCTTCTCCTTCTTCTTTTTCTCTCTCTCCTCCTCCTCCTCCTCTTCTTTCTCCTTCCTCTCTCTGTCACACAACCACACACACACACACACACACACACACACACACACACACACACACGACTATAGCTATTTTAAGTCTTTACCCATCACTCAAGGTCCAGATTCAGGTTGCCTCCTCCAGGAAGCCTTCCCCAAGTGTTTTAACCCTCAGGGAGCTTGCCCTTCTTTAAACTGCTTTGTATGTTATGGTTTGTCTGGATCACCCATTTTGGCCCTTAGGATATAGTCTCACATTTAAGCTAATTATTCCATGCATATACTTTTAATTTTCCCAGACAGATTGTAAACTCCATGAGGGCAATTAATGTTACTTATTTCCTCTGTGGGCAGCCAGGTGGCGCCATAGTGCACAGAGCACCAGGCCTAGAGTCAGAAGACTTATCTTTCTGAGTTCAAATGAGGCCTCGGACATTTACTAGCTGTGTGATCTTGGGCAAGTCACTGAATCTTGTTTGCCTCGGTTTTCTCATCTGTAAAATGAGCTGGAGAAGGAAATGGCAAACCTTTCCAGTATCTTTGCCAAGAAAACCCAAAAATGGGGTCATGAAGAGTCAAATGTGACTGAAAATGACTGAAAAACATGTTTCCTTTGTATCGCCTGAAGTCTCTAGTATAGGGCTTACTAAAACAGGAGTTCAAAAATGCTAAGAAAACCCAAAAATGAGGTCATGAAGACTCAAATGTGACTGAAAATGACTGAAAAACATTCCTTTGTATCCCCAGAAGTCTCTAGTATGGGGCCTAGTAAAGCAGGAATTGAAAAATGTCTGCTGAATGGATGAATTTGATTCAATTCAACAAGCCCTTATGAAATATTTACTACTATGTGCCAGGCACCATGCTGGCACTGGGGAAACAGACAAAAAAAGGAAACACTCCTTGTCCTCAGGGAACTTATGTTCTATTGGGAGGAAACAACATGGCGGCAGCTGAGTACAAAGTAATTGGAGGGCACTAACATTTGGGGGCATCAGGAGAAGCTTCTTCATAGGAGGCAATATTTAAGTTCAAGCCAAAGGGAGGCAGGGATTCCAAGCAATAAGGAGAAAGCCTTCCAGGCGTGGCGGATGGCCGTGTGCAAAGGCACCAAGGTGGGAGATGTTTAGAATTTGGAAATTGGTGAGTCAGTTTGGATGGAATGAAGAGTATAGTGGGTGGAGTATGTCAGTAAAAGGAGTCTGGAAAGAAGTTAGAGCCAGACGGTGATCTGCAAGTCTATGAGTCTATATAACCCTGCGCAGTGGTACTTATGGAAGACATGGCCCAGCCAGAATGGAATATAGATTTCCATGGAACTCTGCCCTCCTGGCTAGTGGGAGAACTGTAGTTCCAATTAGGTGTTACTCAGTGAGGTCATTTTGCAGACGTGCACTGCTAAGTAGGACAGGGTTCTGAGGAATGCTGCACTTCACATGGGGTCTTCTCATTCTAGAAGGGTCTCGGCAGCTGGCAACAAGTAGGGACTGCCTAAGTCAAGCTCCTGCCCAAGCAGCCCCTGAAAAGCTTGGGTGTCCAGAGGTCCAAACAGGCCCCTGGTGTCAGGATCCCACTGGGCATGAATAGATTTTGCTAATTCCATAAGGAAAATTTAGAGTCTCCTAAGGCACTAGTGTCAAACAGATCCCTACCCAGGGTTTACTGATGGTAGAAAACATCAAATTAAAATTATTTTTATTGTATTGTATTTTTATTTATTTACTATATTTTGTTAAACATTTCCCAGTTACACTTTAATCCAGTTTGGTAGCATTCTCCAGATCTTAGTCTGACACCTCTGCTATTATTACGGCATTTATATCTAATGCCACACTTTGGTTAAGCCCCATAAACTCACTGGGTGGGTATTAGTTCCTGCTATGGGGAACCCCAGAAGTCTCTGACATCAGCCACCATTTACCTCTCCCGATCAAGTGAAATACTACCTAAGCAGTCACTGCAGGAGGCTGGAGATGGATTTATTTGTGCAATTGAATGAGGCTGAGTGGTCCAGGAGTTTCTGATTAGGTCTGTGAGGCCCAGGAACAGGACCAGAAGCTTCACAGATGAAAAGAACACAGATGAAAGGAAAAAAAAAAAGCTCTAGATTTGGAATCAAAGATCTGGATGTCAAACCCTGCCTCTGGCATTTACTCCTAGCTCTGTGACTTTGGGCAAGTTACTTGAGTTCTCTGGGCCTCCCCTGTAAAATGAGGTTGTACCACATTTTTGAAAAATTAATGAACATTAATTAAGTGTCTTCTACATGCCAGGCACCATGCAAAGAGCTTTATAAATATTACCTCATTTGGCGATGTTATTATTCCCATTTTGCAAATGAAAAAACTGAGGCAGACAGAAGTTAAATGACTTGCTCAGGGTCACACAGCTAGTAAGTCTGAAGGTGGACTTGAGCTCAGGTCTTCCCAACTCCCTTCCAGTGCTCTGTGCACTATGGCGCCCCCTAGTTGTCCCCAGTAGACTGGATCTCTCATGTGTCTGTCTAGCTCTACAGATTTCTGCTATGCTACTGACTGGGTGTGTGAGTTAGCAAGTGATGATTTTTCTGTGTCTCAGTTTCCCTCTCTGTATAATGAGGGGGTTGGACTAGGTCAGGGGTGGGGAACCTGGAGTCTCAAGGCCACATGTGGCCTTCTAGGTCCTCAAGTGTGCCCCTTTGACTGCATCCAAACTTCACAGAACAAGTCCCCTTCATAAAAGGATTTGTTCTGTAAAATTTGGACTCAGTTAAAAGCTGCACCCAAGGACCTAGAAGGCCACATGCAGCCTAGGTTCCCCAAACCTGGACGAGGTGATCACCATGGTCCTTTCAGAGTCTAAATCAATCAATCAATCAATCAATCAATCAGTCAACAAACACATATCACATGACAGCTACAAAGAAGAAACCTAGCCTCAAGGAACTCATGGATAACTCTGTAGCTCAGGCACCTGCTGAAGAAACCCTGCCTTCTTCAGTCAGATTGACAGAAAAGCGCACCTACCATTTATCACTGGAGTGAAGACAGCCATCGCACTGATCTTTTGTTCAGTTATGGTTTTGTTGAAGATGAGCCCACCAAGACTGGAAAAAGAAACCGTTAAGGACAAACAATTCACAGGCTGTTTGCATACCTGAGAGATGGGATCTCCAGCATTTTAACTAAGGCATTCTCATGGCTACTAGTTCATCATCTATATTATCTTCTCAGCCTGCCTGGGAAGCCTCTCCTCCCACTCTTCCACAACAGAATTCCCCTGCCCCAGCTGCTCTCCACAATGTCTCCTGAATGTGTCTTGCACTCTATTTACCTTAGCTCATTTCTCATCTCCTCTAGATATTCAATTCAACAAGCTTTTAAAAAGTGTCCAACCAATACTTAATGTACCAGGCTCCATGCTAAGCCCTAGGGATATAGAGAAAAAAAAGCCAGCCCCTGCCCTCCAGGAGCTTACATTTTACTGAGAATAAATCACCAGTAAGCACATAAGAAAATACAACATGATGACTACAAAGTAATCTTAGGGAAATGGCGGGGAAAGGGCACTAGCCACTAGAAATGGATTGAGATGAAGAAATGCCTCTAGTAGAAGGTGGCCCTTGAGCTAAGCTTTGAACAAGGCTAGGGATTTGGGGATGGAGACTTGAGGAGGGAGTGAAGTCCAGGAAGGGAAGTGATCTGGGCAAAGGCACAAAGAAAAACAGATGGGACACCCTGCATTGGGAACTAGGTCAATTTGTCTAGAATCTAGAGTGTGAGAGGGAAAGTAACAGGAAATCAATCTGGAAAGTTAGATTGGAACCAGATCATAATGGGTGCTGAATGCCAGGAGAACTTTTATTTTACGCCAGAGCCAACAGAGAGCCAGTGAAGATTCTTGAGTAGAGAAGAGATTTGGTCCAAGCTGGGCTCTCAGAACATCCATTTGGCAGCTGTGGGGATTGGAGAAGCTGGATGCAAGGAGACCAACCTGAAGTGTGTTGTGGGAGTCCAGGTAAGAGGTAATAAAAGCCTGTACTCTGCTGGTGACCATGTGAATGGAAAGACAGGGACAGGTGGGAGAGGTGGTGTAGAGGGAGAAAAGACGAGACAAAAAACTGACTGAATATTATTGGAGGGGGCAGTTTCAGTCAAAGAGTGGGGTGAGAAGCTGGACAGGGAATCCCTAAGAAGTGAGTGGGAGGGGGCAGCTAGGTGGTGCAGTGGATAGAACACCAGCCCTGGACTCAGGAGGATCTGAGTTCAAATCTGGCCTCAGACACTTACTAGCTGTGTGAATCTGGGCAAGTCACTTAACCCCAATTGCCTAAAAAAAACCAAACCAACAAAAAATGAAGTGAGTGGGAGATGAGAAAGAAGAGACGACAAGTATAGACACAAAGCCTTTCCAGACCACTTTCTAGCACAGGGTGACCTGTCTCCCCTGGTCCAATGAAGAGAATCAGAGACTGTTACAGCTGAAAGGAACCATCAGTTCAGAGCTCAAAGGGGCCGTAGAGGACATTTGTTTCAATCTCCTCCTTTTATAAGTAGGCAGACTGAGCCTCAAGAAGGTGCAATGTCTTGCCCAAGGTCACAAAGGTAGTAAAGTGACAGAGCCAGGGTTCAAACTTATATCCTGGGACCCCAGGCATTCTTCTCTCCTCTACACCAACCACTTGGCCCTCTGGATAAAGGACAACTTATTATTTCAGTGTGAATTGCAATAGGTTTCACATACCTCTATGGATTAGACTAGATATTTTTTCCTACAGTTAAATGATTTAATAATCCCTGCCTTCAGTGAGCTTATATTCTAATGGAATGGGCAAAGGGGAGAAAACATATATGCAAAGGGAGATTCAAGTTCAACCCTCTCTTCTATAGATGGAGAGAAGGGAAATGACTTACTTAATGTCACACAGGAAAGAACTGGGACTAGACTCCGGGTCTCCTGACTTCCAGTACTGTGCTCCTTCCACCATACCATACTGATTCTGTACTATTTCTTCTGTCATCACGAAACTCAGGGAAGCAAGAGGCATTAGCTCTCCACTACTCCACCCCCGACTCTGCAATCCCAAAATAGGGCGACTGGTTGTTATGGACAACTGAAAGTTCAGGGAAGGTTCCGCCTTACACTCTATTGTCATGTGCCTGCCAACATCCTAGTTCTAAAGCACAGGCAGAGGTCAATGGTCTCCTTGGGGCCCAGATAACAAATGCTCACCATGCAAGTCTCTGAACATCCCTCACAGGTCATCATTTAGTCTCGGTTTAGATGTTTCCAAGGACAGGAAACTCACTAGCTTTTGGGTAGTTTATTCTTTGTTGGACAGCTATCACTGTTGAATTCTCCCCTATATGAAGCAGAAATCTTCCTTGCTAGGACTTCTATCCATTGGTTTTGATTCTATCTCCTAAAACCACATGGAACAAGTCAAATCTTTCTGCCACATGGATAGCCTTCAAATAGGTGAAGATGGCACATGTATCCATCCACTAACTGCTTACCTCCCCCATCCCCCAGGTTGTCTTTTCTCTAGGGAAATATTCCCAAGTGCTTTCATCATTTCTCTTATGATGTTTATTACCTGTGTGACCTTGAACTTCAGCTCACCTGTGTCTCAGTTTTCTCATCTATAAAATAAGCTTTAAATCTAGGAGGTTATGGTTCTCAGACACTATTTTCTGGGCACACTTCTGTTCATGAATGTTCCCTTAAAAACATATACCTAGAATGCAAGAGAGCACTCCAGCTGGGCTCTGACCAGGGAAGAGAATAGCGGGATTAATGCCTCCCTTGAGATACCTATTACATAGCCTAATATTATCTTGTTTCTATGAGCAGCCAATTCACCCCCTATGGGCTCCCATCATTTTGAACTGATTACTGTTCTTTTTAACATGTGTTGGCCTATTTTATGGTTTTTAGGTTTAGTTATTTTTATAATGAACATCTATATTTAATTTATAAATATATAAGTAGAGTCCTCTGATAATTAGAGCTATTCAGTAATGAATGGGCTACTCCTGGAGGTCCTGAGTTCCTCCTTACCTAAGGTACTCAAGTAGGCAGCTCTTTGTGGAGAACACTGTGGAAGAGAGTCATTCTTGGGGTAGGAGCTGGCCTAGGTATGATCTAAGGCCCTTCCCACCTCTGGGATTCTGTTGATTCTATGAATTTACACCAGTGTTGATTGAGGTCTCAGTTAAAATATGCTCTTTGTAGATTGGACCATGCACATAAGTTACAGAATTTCAGTTAGAAGGGATCCGCAGAGATTACCTAGCCTGACTCACCTTTGCTTGAGAATCCCTTAAACAACACCTCCAACAGGCTGCCATCCAGCCTCTAGGATGGGCAACTCACCACTTCCCTGTGAAGCAGCCCGTTCTGGTCTTGCCTTAATTGTTACAAAACGTCGTTGTCTCTTAAATTGGGCTAAAATCTACCTTTCTGCCACTTGACCTGCAGTTCTAAGTTCTCATCTGGCAGAAAAGGTCCAAATGACCATTTCTCAAGGGCCCCTTCCATGATCGCTTTGCTCTTGGCCCAGCTTACTGTGTTCTCCACCTCTTTGCCAGCATCCTTGCCTTCTACTTCACTCTCCCCCACCCCAGCTTTCTATCTCCTCTTTCTGTAGTATCTCCCCCTTAGAATGTAAGCTCTTTGAGGGCAGGGACTGCTTTGTTTGTTTGTACTTGTATCCCTAACACTTAGCACAATGCCTGGCACATAGTAAGTGCTTAATAGATGACCAATTTGTTTGTCTTACACTTCTTTCCCAACATGCCTTCTGATACTTGAAGTCTGCTCTCAAATCTCCCATCTCCCTTATGACCCCCAGTTTTCTCTTCTTTCAGCTGAACAACCCCACCTCCTTCCATGAATACGCATATGGTAAACGAAGTTTGCATCACGATCAACTAAGTTTTTTTATACTAGTAAGAAACTTTTATTAATCTTCAATATTAGCATTTTTACTTTTCTAATAATTTTCAATTATTAGAATGAAAAAAACTTAAGGTCAAAATGAAGTTATCAAAGCATTTATATGACTAAAGGAAGAGGAGGGAAACAGGAAAGAAAGCCCAATCCCCAAAGGGCCAGTAAGTATGCTAGATATGGTAGCAGCTTTTATGAAGGTTTATTTAATCAGGCTGCTTCTGGCCCCAGCAAATCCTCATGCAGTCTGTGTGCTTCGGATCTGGGAGAGGACCCACAATGCTCTGATACCAGTGGAGAGATAGGATAAGGTGGGACTCTCATTTAGGAAGTTTCTTCCTCTCCAAAATTCAACCATCAACTCCCAGATGGAGTACATGGCTTTCCTTGTTCTTACCTGCTGATTAACATGGCCGTGATGATGGGAAACCAGCCTGTCTTCAGTACTTGGGTGATGGAAGGGCTCTTGTTTATTATGAAAATCCATATTGGGATCAGGGAGAAGAAGAAGAAACAGATCACTGGGAACAGGTAATATAGGTCTGGCAAGAGAGAAGAGACACATGTACCATGTTAACATGTGACTGGAGAATAAAAGCTTGTCGAAGGCATCTGTCTCTGTATTCCCAGTACCTGGTATACAGTAGGAATTTAATAAATGTTTTCTGAAACTGAGACCTTTCCTGATTACCCCATCTCGCCCCACCCCCCTTCCCAGGGCTTTCTTTCCCCTCTGAGGTTACCTTCTGTTACACGATATGTCTTGTACACTGCTGTTTATTTAAATGCCTCCCACATTAGACTCCAAGCTCAGGGCAGGAACTATTTTCACCTTTCACCTTCTTTGTATTCTCAGTGCTTAGCATTGTGCTTGGCACAGCAATTAGAAATGCTTGTTGATTGACTGATTGATCACAATGTCTAAGAAACTTGGCATTGGAGAAGAATTAAGAGAATACTCTTCCTCTTGCAGAGGTGGGGGACTATGGGTATGGAATACTGTATATGCCAGACTCAGCAGGCATGTTAGTTTTGATGAGCAGCTTTTTTCCTCTTTTTTTTTCTTTTTTTGGTGAGGCAACTGGGGTTAAGTGACTTGCCTAGAGTCATACAGCACTAGCTGTATTATGTTTTGTGTCTGAGGCCTCAGACTCAGGTCCTCCTGACTTCAGGGCTGGTGCTCTATCCACTGTGCCACCTAGCTGCCCCTTTCTTCTCCTTTTTTATTCTTTGTTACAATGATTAGCTGTTTGGTAATGAGTGGGGCAGGGATATATCTGGGGATGAAGGTGATATAAAAATAAGGGATATTGATAATTTTTTTTAAAAGGCAAAGATGCGTAATCGTTTGATTAAAATGGCCCAAATGTGACTTTGGGCACATTTCTTGACCTCTGTGGGCCTCAATTTCTGTATCTATAAAATGGAAGGTTAGGATGCTTTCTAAGGTCCCTTCCAGCCTTACATCCAGCAATTCTTGGTATGAATTCTCCTTGCAGAATGGAAGCCACAATGAGACACCAGGGTTGGAGCTACAATCTTCATTTCTGGGCTCAGTCGCCTCCTAGATAATTTATTTTCACTTGTTGCCAAAAAGCCTCCATCCTAACCCTGGGCCCGAGACTCCAAGCTGTTTCAGCGAGATGAGTTCATTGGAGGGAGACAGCCTGAGTCATGAGCCTGAGGTCCCAGGGGAAGGCCACTGGACAGAGCAGCTGGGCCTCTCGACTTGATTCTCAAGCCTCGAAAGCTGGTTTGCCTTAGACTTGGCAGTCTTGAGATGAACACAACCTTGCTTTTCTTTCTGCTGAGAGTTAACCATTGGCCTTGGATATTTAACAAAAAGCTCACAGAGTTTCTCTGCAAAAACTCATTAAAAGCACCCTTCCCTCTTAGAGAGACCTGGAAGGGCCCCTGGAGGTCATCTAGTTATGGTCATCTTGTTTTCCAGACAAGGGCAATGAGGCCATGCTGTTTCTCTCATTCAGGGGAGGAGCATTTTTCCTCCTCAGGAAGAAGGGATGGGAAATGGAGCGTTGGGACTATGACCAGTGGTTTCTTGTTACCTGTGGGATGCTGGGCCAAGTCATTTCAACTCTGGGGAAGCCTTAGTTTTCTCATCTACAAAACAAGGTGGTTGGACGACAAGATCCCCGAGATCCAAGGCAGCTCTTAAATCCCATGATCGCATAAATCCCATGATCTTGCCTGGAGACAAGAGCTTCTCCTTACACCATGAACCCCACTGCTTCCAATCCCTTATTTCTGAATGCAGAACCCTCTATCTCAGAAAGTTTTTCCATGAGAGACTGGATCACTCACTACCTTAGTACAGTTGCTACAATATTTTCCCCCCATTTCCTTGGGAGAAACCCTCTCATTTTATAGACGTAAATATACGAGGTGCCCAGAATCAAAGAGGGTTCCCAGCCAAACCCTCCAACTCCAAAGCTAGGACTCTTTCCTGTACATAATACTGCCTTTCATGTGCTTTTAACAGTCATTTAGCAACCTGCAACATCCCTGGTCTATGTCATATCTCCTCTTCCAGCACAGGATACAACCACTCCCCATCTCTGTGCCTGGGCTCATGTTGTATCACCCACTTAATATGCCCTCCTCCCCTTCTCCATCTTTCCCATAGTTTTTCAAGGTCCAGCTTATATGACACTTCCTCCATGAAGCCTTCCCTGATCTCCCACCAGAGATGATACCTCCTTCCTCTGGGAGAGTTATATATTAGCTGTAGGAGGCACCCTATTTGTATTTGGACTAAGAAGCATTACCTTCTGTGTACTTCTCTTATCTCTCCCCTACTAGAAACTTTAAAATGTTTTACTGATATCTTTTGTCTTTAAATCAGCCATTTGAAATACCTCCTCCTACTGAACCTTCCTTTGTGACAAAGAAAAGCAATTCAGCAAAACCATTTGATCCAGTGACCACAGCTGATAATATATGTCCCCAGAGCTCTCTGTCTCTCTAGGTAAAGGGGAAGGTATATTTCTGTAACCCTATTCCCAACCTGACTGAGTTTCCTTCTCTTAACTTCTTAAGCGAAGTTATACTTTTCCTACTCACTCTCTCCCAGCTGGCACATTGGACCTGGAGTCAGGAAGACCTGAGCCCCAGACATTGACTAGCTCTGTGGCCTTGGGCAAGTCACTTAACCTCTGTCTGCCTTAGTTTCCTATCTGTAAAACTGGAATACTTACAGCACCTACCTAACAGTTGTTGTGAGGATCAAATAAGATAATATGGCTAAAACACTTAGCTCAGTGCCTGGCACATAGTTGGCTCTATAGAAATGCTTATTCCCTTCCCCATCCACCCAGGTGCCTAGCACCTACTACCTAGCAGATTAATGTTTGCAGGAGGAATGAATTATCTGTCCCCTTTCTGACCCTCTCCAGTACATATTGTCTATATCACATATGTTAACAATTGATCACTGGCTCCCCTATATCATTGTTCTCACTCTCATATGTGTTTCTCATTACCCTTCATATCTCATTGAAATCTGCCATCTCTGAAAAATGAATGAATAAGCATTTATTAAGCACTTACTGTGTGCAAAGCAATGCCTACTGAACTGTGCCCAGATGTGGGGCCGAGCAGCCTGAGCCTAATGGCTCTTCTGCCTGACAGCCCCTTAAATACTTGAAGACAGTTCTCATGTCCCCAGGCTTCTCTTCCCAGGCTAATCATCCCCCGTTCCTTTGCCTAATCTTCCCGTGCTGTGATCTCAAGGCTATTTGCCATCTTGGTTCCCCTTCTCTGGATATACTTCAGTTTATCATTGTCCTTATCATTACCATTGTGGGACTATCGTCTCTCTCCTTTTGGGCCCTAAGCCTCTCTCAGTGCACCCCAGGATCACAGGGCTGCAATGGAATCCTCTTAAGGCTCTCTGAAGCACAAAACATAGGCGAGCTCTTTTTCCCTGCAAGGATGGGGAGGGGGGAGGGAGGAGTAGAGATCAGGGCTGGAAGATAAAATTGGCAGCACAAATTGGGGAGGGTGGGGAAGGCAGCTCATGGAAACAATAATGAAGAAAAGCCCTCACTTGTCTTGCCCCCAGAGGGTTAAGTCAAGTGGGCTTGGCACCGAGACAGGCCCCAAAGTCTCCATTTCTTAGGTGATAACAATACGCCTTTTGGATCGATTTTCATCCTTGTTTCCAAAAAGGCCTCACTATAACCCTGGGCCTGAGGCCCTAGCCTTGCTTTGTAGACAAGCAGAGGGTGGAGAGAGATGCTGAGCCTCAGGTCCCAGAGGAAAAGCCACGGCCTGACTTTGGCCCAGACATAGCAGAGCAACTACATTCGAAAATGTGGAAGGTTCTCGGTGTGCCCACTGGGAACCAATGAAGGGCTCAGGGGTGGCTGGCAGCCTTGGGGATTCTGGGGGCTGGTCTCTTCTGTCATGGGAGCTAATGTGCCACAGCTGGCATTGTTTCTGCTTTGAGCTGATCACTGGCTTGGCTATCCTATAAAAAGCTCTCAATTCCTCAATGGAGTCTCATGAAGAAACTTTCTGTTGCAGGGGTCGTTTTTCCTAAGGCAAAAAAACTGCGGGAGGTGGGGGGAAGGCAGTGCTCTATAGTCTTATGGCCCAGGAGTGCTCCCCTACCCCCCTGCCCCCAAAAGTCTTCTGAAGCTACACTAGTGAGTTCACTGATCACAGAGGGAGACAAAGTTAAAAATCATCCAAGAGCTAGGGAGAGATTCAAAAGACTCTGGAGTGGTGCCCCAGATAAGAACTAGGAGGCATAGATCACAACTCTGGAGGCGCACGCGCGCGCGCGCGCGCGTGTGTGTGTGTGTGTGTGTAGGGGACTTTGGTCCTAGTTCTAGCTTTGCCATCTTCACCTTTCTGGACCTCAGTCTCCTCACCTGTAAAAGCAGGGAGTTGAATGATACGGTCTCTTAGGCCTCTTTCAGCTCTGACTGTTCTAAGGCCCCCTCCAGCTGTGACATTCTATATTCTAAGGTCCCTCTTAGCTCTGACATTCTGTGTTCTAAGGCCCCTGTCAGCTCTGACATTCTGTATTCTCAGGTCCCTCCTAGCTGTAACATTCTTTGTTACCAACTTCCTTTCTAGCTCGGACATACTGCTTCTGAGGTCCCTTACAGTTTTAATTGTCTATGTACTAAGGTCCCTCCCAGCTACGACATGCTGTGTCCCAAGGTCTCTTCCATCTCGACATTCTGTCCTAAGTTTCCTTCTTGCTTTAACATGCCATTTCCTAAGGACCCTTCCAGCTCTGACCTTTTAAGTTTGTTTCTAAAGTCCCTTTCAGCTCTCATACACTAGGATTTTAAAATATGACACAGAGGAAGCCCCTGGAAGGTTTAAGTGTAGCTGCTAAGATACTATCTTCTAGCTTAATTAATGGCTCCTTCTACTCGAGACGCCATCTTTATACAAGGCGGCTCAGATGGCAGCTTCTTGTAAAAGTTCAGTTAGGGACAACTCTAAAAAATGGAGAGAAAGGGGTGGGGAGTATAGCATTCAACAAGACCCCAGGGATGGGGAGGCTCGTAAAACCCGTGGATTACTTCCTGGGCAGCTGTATCACATGGCCTGCGATCACCACCTTATTTTGGAGAAAAGGGACACTCTAGTGTGTTCCATACCATCTTCCAATAGGCTGATTTTATGTCAGATACTTTCTCTTCTGGACTCAGCTCAAGGGTCACTTCCTCCCTGAAGCTGACCTTGGGGCCTTGATTGATTTTTCTTCCCTTGACCTTAAGCAAGAGATTTCTCCTCCCTGAGACCTTGTTTTCCTCATTCACCATCATTACAACCAGCCTTGGAGTCAAGAAGGCCTGTGTTCAAGTCCATTGTGACCATAAACTGACTCTGTGACCTGGTCGAGTCACTTAACCTCTCACTGCCCCAGACAACTTCCTGTGACTCTATTACTCAGGGAAGATGCTGATTTACAGTGGTAGAGAACATGCCTTTCACATTGATGAAATCACAGCTTTGGTTGTGAAAAAAGATATTTTGTAGAGGGCTTAGAGGTTTCAAAACACTAAGGACATTATCTCATTTGACCTTCCCATCTTCCCGTATCCCTCTTCCCCCATTAAGTACTACGTGCATGATTCCCAATTTACAGATGGGGAAACTGAGGCTCAGATATGCCTCACCCAGAGCCATGTAGCACTATAGTAAGTGTCTAAGGCAGGATTTGAACTCAGGTTATCCTGACTCCAACCCCAACATACTATTAGGCAGCTAGGATAGTGTGCTGTAGAGTCAGGACATTTTCTATTACTTCCATTTCCAGTTGTTTCAGTCATGTCTAATTCTTCATGACCCCATTTGGGGTTTTCTCGGCAAAGATACCGGAGTGATTTGCCATTTTTTTCTCCATTTCAGTTTACAGATAAGGAAACTGAGGCAAACAGGGTTAAGTGACTTGCCCATGGTTACACAGCTAGTATCTGAGGCCATATTTGAATTTGGGAAAGCAAGTCTTCCAGACTCTAGGTTCAGTATCAAGTATGCCACCTAGCTGTCTCAGTCAGGAAAACCCAATTCAAATTTAGCCAAAGATACTTATTTACTAATGACCTTGGGCAAATCATTTAACCTCTATTTGTCTCACCTGTAAAATGGAGATTATAACAGCACTTACCTGCAAGGGTTGTTGTGATGATCAAAGGAAACAATATTTGTGAAGTGCTTAGCACTGTGCCTGGCACATATATCAACGAAATGCGTTTATTGATACTATTTTTTTTTCACCATACCATACTACCTCCCTATGAAATGAGGGGTTTAAATTGATTAGATGAACTCAGAGCTGGTTAGAGGGTTAGTTTCAGAGAGTAATTATTAACAGTTCAGTGTCAACATTGGAGAAGGTTTCCAGTGGAGTACCCCCTGGGGTTCTACTTGGCTTAGTACTGCTTACCATTTTTATCAATGACTTGGCTCATTGGCCAAAGGCATCAACCGCATATTTAGCTTGGAGGAAAGAAGAATTGGGGGGGGGGGATGAAAACTGTCTTCAAATACTTGAAGACCTGTTGGAGGGAGGGAGGATTAAGCTTGTTCCACTTGGTTCCAGAGGGCCAAGGCAGAAGCGATGAGTGGGATCTAGAAACAGGCACAGGAGAACAACACTGATGTCAGGAAAGCCTTCCTAATGAGTAAAGTTATCAGAAGTGGAATGGCTGGCCATGAGAGATGGCAGGCTTCCCCCTTTGGAGCTCTCCAAGCAGAAGCTAGATGACCGCTTGTCAAGTACACACAGTGGGATCCTTCCCGTAGGGGTTGGACGAGATGGCCGCTGTGGTCCCTCAGGACAGTCTGCATTTATGAGGCTGCCATTGCTCAGGGCATTGGTGGGGGTGGGGGGAGTCCCTTAGCCTCCCTTCCTCACCTTTAAAATGAAGGAATTGTGTTAGATGGTTTCTGAGGGCCCTTCCAACTCTAAAATCCTGGGAACTGCCTTTGGAGCTAGGTTCTAAGCAGCACTGGAAAGTCAGTTTCATTTTTTTTCTTTTTTGTCTCTCTCTTTTTTTTTAATAGCTATGTATATACTGTTCTAAAGACTCCATATATATAGCATGTACTATTTCTTCAACCAGATCATAAGTTTCTTCAAGGCAGAGATTGCGCCATATTCTCTGGATTGATAACAACAACAGCAATAATCATAGCCAGCATTTAAGTTTTGCGAAGCACTTTACAAATATCTCATTTTTTCCTTCCCCAAATCCTGGGAGGTAGGTGCTATTATTATCACTATTTTACACATGAAGAAACTGAGACAGACAGAGATTAAATGACTTGCCCAGGTCACACAGCTAGTAAGTGTCTGAGGCCAGTTTTGAACTCAGGTCCTCCTGATTCCTGGTCCAGCACTCTACTCCCTACACCATGCAGAATAGATGTTCAAGAAGAATTTTTAAAATACGTATAAACTAATGACATGCTTCTTGGGAGAAAGGGACTGCATCTTGCAACAGAGCCTCCCTTGGAAGCTTTGAAGACTGAGTCTGGGCTTAAAAATAGAGCAAGCTCTCTGGAATTTGTCCCACTTTCCTCCTTGATTTCTGGGACCTTGTCTCTTCTCATGGATCCCCTTCTCAGAATTTTGTGGGAGATTGTCATGTGATTTACAACCCAGTGAGAAAGCTTAGGACAACAACTCCAAAAACTCAAATCAAATAAATAAGAACCAATATGCTTCCCATGTTTTGTCACAGAGAAGTTAATCTAAGCAGAACCTGACCTGGGTTCGAATGCCACCTGGGATCATCTCTTACCTAAAAATGAACTCACCCAATTTTCCCCTTTTGAGACCTCAGGATCAGCCCTAGTCTTATTGAAGTAACGGTAATGTTAATGAAGTAAAGTAATGTTTAGCCTAGGGAAGAGAAGATTTGAGCGAACATAGCAGACCTTGGGTCACCACAAGGAAGTAACTTCATCTCCCTGGGCCTTGGTTTCCCCATCGGCAAACTGGGGGTGGTGGGGAGCATTGTGTGGACTAGGTTGACCTCTAGAGGTTCCGTTCCAGCTCTCGAACTGTGCTCCTAAGATTTACAGAAATGAGTCATAGAACCAGAGTTGGGACACACCTCAGTGGCCACATATGACTGACAACAGCTTGGAGTGCTGCTGCTACTGCCACTAGGGGATTGACATTTCAACAGAGATCAACACATATCTGAAAAAGGAGCTCCTCTCTAAACGGTCATTCAGTCATCACTCAAGTATCTCCAATGAGAGGGGACCTTCTCAGGTAGCCCATCCCACTTCTGGATAGGCCTGATTATCAGAAAAACCCTCCTTACATGAAGTCCACATTTCCTTCTTTGTAATGTCCATCCATTGGTCCCAGTCCTGTTTGAGTCAACAATTCCAGTCCCCTTTTCACATATCAGCCTTTCAAGGTCTTGCCAACATCTACTGCTGTTCCCTCTCAAATCTTCTCTGCCCCAGGCTAAACATTCCCCATTACTTCAACGAGACTAGGGCTTCGGATCCAGAGGGCTCGAAAGGGAAAATTGGGTGAGTTCATTTTCAGACAAGAGATGACCCCAAATGCACATTATCTGGTTTCAGTTTCTGGCCATTCCCTTCTCCCCCGGGGGAGGGGCTCTGGTGATCTGCCAGGCAGTTTTGAACACATGCTGTTATAGTGCATGATGGAATGAGGTCATCTGGCTTGGCACCTGCAGACTTAGCTTACTCTGCAGTTCTATTCAGAATCCGCAGGCAGTTAACCAATCACAGTGGTATGACATCAGGAGGCAAAGGATGCTCCAAAAGCGCTTGAGTGTTCTTGTCTAGGCTCCGCCGATGTTCTGACTGTCTATCGTGTCTCCTCTTGGGGCCTCCACATCCTCAACTATAAAGTGAGGGGCTTTGTAGAGTTCTGCCTCTCCAGATCATTTAATTCACCCCTCCCCCATTTTACAGATGAAGAAACAGCAGCCCAGAGTGGGAGAGTGACTAGCTGAATGTTATACAGAGCAGGAGAGGCAAGGCAAGGACTAGGATGGGGGTCTCCCGAGTTTCAGGCCAATGTTCTTGCCTTGATGACATATAGCCTCCCACAATGGAGGATCTCTAGGTCAGCTGCTTACAGCTGGAGTATTTTAACTCCAGTTTCCTAGAGCAGTCTGGGTTGTGGTTGCTGGGACATATGGTATTTGTACTGGGTACCTCCTGGCCCTACCTTTTTCCCTCCACCTTCTGACTGTGACCCACTGGACCCTGAACCTCTTGCAGGCCATACCTATATATCTGTACAGGATGCTACTGGTGCCTGCTAGAATGCATAGGGATACGAAATCTCCGAGCATGGCTGCGATGGGTGTGGAGATGTTGTCCGGATTGATCCCCATCTTCTGAGCACCCAGCACCACGCATATCATCAGTATTCCTGCAGAGATAAAGAGAGAGAGAGAGAGAGAGAGAGAGAGAGAGAGAGAGAGAGAGAGAGAAGGAGAGAGGGAGGAAGAGAGAGAGAGGGAGAGAGAGAGAGAGAGGAGACAGGGAGGAGGAGAGAGGGGGAGAGACAGTGAAAGGGGGGGAGAGAGAGAGACAGAGAGGGAGAGGAGATTATATTTTCATCTAGTAGGATATGAACAAAGAACAGCACCTTCTAGGGGGCTTTATGGCCTTCCCTCCCAACAACCCTGGAGGCAATAAAGCATCTCTCTCATTACCTTCTAGTCATATTTCAGGTCCACATCCAGCCATCTCTGTTAGCTGGCCTATTAATGGAACCTCTCTTGTAATGGGCACTTCTGCATATCAAACACAGGACAAGAACTGATGTTCTAATGTCTACTTGTCGAGATCCTGCCTGATGCTATCTGAAGCCTAGTAGATGGCTAGGTAGGCAGATAGTTGGGTTTAAGGCAGCTAGGGGGTGCTGTGGATAAAGCACATATTATTTATATTAAAATAAAAAGCTTTTGTTCAAACAAAACCAATGCAACCAAGATTAGAAGGAAAGCAGAAATCTGGGAAACAATCTTTACAGCAAGTGTCTCTGATAAAGGCCTAATTTTTCAAATATTTAGAGAAGTGAGTCAAATTTATAAGAATACATGCCATTCCCCAGATGATAAATGGTCAAAGGATATGAACAGGCAGTTTTCAGATAAAGAAATCAAAGCTTTCTATAGGCATATGAAGAAGTGCTCTAAATCACTTTTGATTAGAGAAATGCAAATTAAAACAACTCAGAGGTACTACCTCACACTATCAGACTGGCTAATATGACAATAAAAAGAAAATGATAAATGTTGGAGAAAATGTGGGAAAATTGGGAAACTAATGTACTGCTGGTGGAGTTGTGAACTGATACAAGCATGATGGAGAGCAATTTGGAACCCTGCCCAAAGGGCAACCAAAGTGTGCTTACCCTTTGATCCAGCATACCACTACTAGGTCTGTATCCCAGAGAGATCTAAAAAAGGGAAAAGGACCTACATGTAAAAAATATTTATAGGAGTCCTATTGGTGGCAGCAAAATATTGGAAATTGAGAGGATGCCCATCAGTTGAGGAATGGCTGAACAAGCTCTGGTATATGAATATAATTGAATAGTACTGTGCAATAAGAAATGATAAACAGGCAGATTTCAGAAAAAAAAAACCTGGAAAGACTTATATGAACTGATACAAAGTGAAATGAACAGAACCAAAAAACATTGTACACAGTATCAGCAACATTGCATGATGATCCACTATGAGTGACTCAGCTCTTCTCAGCAACACAATGATCCAAGACAAGTGCAAATGACTCAGAAAGGAAAATGCTATCAATATCAAGACAAAGAACTGAAGGACTCTGAATGCAGATGGAAGCATATTTTTTTCCATTTACTTTATTCTTTTTCATGTTTTTTTTCTTCCTTTTGATCTGTTTCCTCTTTCACAACTATGACTAATATGGAAATATGTTTTACATGATAGCACATGAATAACCTATATCAAATTGCCTAGTATTTTTGGAAGAGGGAGAAAAATTTGGAACTCAAAATCTTGAAAAATGAATGCTAAAAAATTGTCTTGATATATAACTGGGAAAAATAAAATACTATTAAAAATAAAGGAAAAAAAAAACAATTTGGAGCTGTCTGGGATTTTTTTTAAGACCCAGCAGAGAAGGCTCCAATGAAGGGAGCTTAAAGGATATGATTTCAGGGTGAGCAGGTAGAAGGAATTCAATCAAATCTCCTGTTTGACAACTTCCAGATGTTCCCTGCTGAGAATTAACAGCAACAAGCATTCCCACCTGGAGTGGCATAACCCAAGGCAGAGCCAGCAAGAGGGACGGAGCCTACAAGAGGGGAAAGGGCAGAGGAGCTGGGGGTCTATGCCTTGGATCTGGCAGTTACCCTGGGCAGTGGCCATTGGGAGTGGGAACAATGTCACCTCTAAATATGAAGGTCACACAGATCACTTTGTTTCTAACTTAGTGACAGCCTCTGCTTGGTGGCCACCTCTGCAATCTGCCACAAGTCCTCCACTCTGTGGGGTGGTGCCCTGCTAGAGGGCAGTCCACTAGCTCCCTCCTGGTGGTTTCCTCCTTTTGCTCGCACCACCTTCCAAGATGCCCAGTGCCTAGCAGCTTTTAACCTGTTCTCAGAACCTTCATTTACACCAAAGGCCTCAGTGACTGACAACAGCTTGGAGTGCTGCTGCTACTGCCACTAGGGGATTGACTTTTCAACAGAGATCAAAATCTTAAAGGGACTAAGCTCTAATGCTGGAATTTCAGGCAGAAGGCAGAACATGGGGCTGCATTGGAGAAGTCTTCACTATGCATCCTGCTGTTACCAGTCATGGCACTTCCTGGCCATCTCCTCACTAAGCTGCCTATATTCCAGCCATCGCCTTCACTTGTCCCCCAAAGCAACTCTGGACTCTGCCTCAGGGTCTCTCAGCTCTAAAAGGTGAGCTTTTACTATATCTTGCCTGGAACCAGGCCAACAAACCATACAACATACCAATATACCAGGCTAATTTACCAAGCTGATGCATGTATACCACCCCCCCAACTTTTTATGCATTATCTTACTCTATTAGAATGTAAGCTCCACGAGGGCAGGGTCAGTCTTATATTTGTATCTCTAGTACTTTGCACAGTGGCTAGCATACAGTAAGTGCTTAATCAATTTTCCTTCCTTCCTTCTGTCATCTAATCATCATCTCTCTATCCATTAATCCTCCTATCCATCTATCATCTCTCCATTATCTCCCTTTTCATCTATCCCTCTATCCATCTATCCATTATTTCTCTATCCATCCATCCCTCTATCTATCTATCATCTTTATATCATCCATCCCTTTATCTATCCACTATCTCTCCATCCATCCTTCCATTTATCATCTATATAACATCTCTTGATCCACCCATCCCTCTATCTACCTGTTTATCCATCCATCTTTATCCTCCTCTCATCTATCCATCTATCATAGAGGAACCCCCATCTCATCACTAGCTCCTAGTATCTCATTTACTTTAGCTGGTGGGCTTTGAGGGGAATCCTAAAATTCCTTTAATAGAGAAATCGAAGATTCAATAAAGTTCCTTGAAATTTAGTCCAATGTTCTTATTACAGATGAAGAAATTGAGGCCCAGAGAGCTGCTGTGACTAACCCAGGGTCATATAGCTACATCCCAGAAGGAAGGCTTTGTCAAAACAGTCAACCTGTATTAATACGGAATGTTCTGGAAGATGAATCATAACAGATTTGGGGTGGGGAAAGGGGGAGAGCAATGCCAGAGGAAGAAGGCAATCAGATGGCAATAGCATGTTCTGGGACCAACAAAAAAACAAACAAACAAATATCTTCTGTTTTACCCAATGGGAAGAAAACCACGGTACTTGCCAATGCCAAGAGAACAGAAGAAAGAGCTTTAGATTGGATAATGTGAAGGCCTGAAAGGATCTTAGAGTAAGAATGTCAGTATTGGAGGAGACACTAATGATCATCTGGTTCACCTCCCTCATTTTACAGAGAAGGGATCTGAGACTCAGAGGACTTGCTCAAATGAGTGATGGCAGAAATCAAATTAAGAATCCAGGCCCATGGCCTCCCAGCCCTGGTGTTCTTTCTACAACACAAGTCTTTCACTCCATAGTAGAACCAGATGATGGGTCATTAAGGTGAGTGAGAGACGTATGGTGACATCCTCAATCTTTGGAAGGTGATGCCAGTGAGGACAACCAAAGACTCTCCTAAGGAGGATAGATAGAAAGATAGAAGTGAAATGGATGCAACTTACCCAAGGTCACACAGCTACCTACATACCAGAAGAGACCCTGTCAGAATAGCTAAATTCTTACCAATCTGGAATGTTCATGGCATGGAAAACGAAAGCTTATCATAACAGGGTCATGGGGCTGACCCACGTAGGTTTTCCTTTTATTCTCCTGGGGTCTGCCTGTGATTTCCTGCTCTTCCCAATCCGGGGAGAACATTAGGTGGATCCGGGTAGACATAGCAACATCTATTTCCCTTGGGATTTCCTTAAAACTGCTGCACCTTCTCCCAGAGCACATAGCTAAGCTCATGGCAGGGGCTACATAAAAACAGAATTGAGTCTTTTCAACATTCCCCTAGCATTTTTGATATTCCTTAAACTTTGTTATTTCCCTCAGATATTAACACAGTGCTTTGTATACAGCTAGTGCTTAACAAATATTTCCAGAACTGACTGAGCAGGGCTTCAAGCCACAGTAGGAAAGCATTGTACCTCGATGACCAGTAAGGGCCCTTCTAGTTCAAACACTAGAATTTTATAATTTTTCTCTGCCCCCCCCAACCTTATTTACCCCTAAAGGATGAAGGCAAGGCCTGGTGGGGATCTGAGATTTAGAAATAGCAATTATAGCTGTTTGATTTTTGCAAGGAAGCCCATGCTACCTCCAGGGGTGGACCCGGGAATTCATTCTTCCCTAATAAGCAAGTGAAAACCTCCCTGTGTTTCCTAGCATAATGAGCCTAGAATTCTTATAATAGAGGAATTGCATCATTCTATGATCTCAAGTCTGGCAGAGAGCTAAATAATACTTTGATCCAACTCTCTGTCCCCCGATTTTACAGAGAAGGAAACTGAGGCCCTCAGAAGGCCCAAGGTCACAATGAATTGGTGGAAGAACTGGAATCAGAACCTAGGTCTCAGAACCACTAGCCCCATGTTTTTTCCATTCCCCAGAAATGTGAGGATGAGAATGCAAACCTCCTAGGAGAAGCAGCCCTGGCTGAGGCTAAGAAGTCACTGATTGGATGCAGGGTATTTCCCAAAAAGCTCACTGTCGAACTAGCGGAAACACTAGGACATCTGGGCCGGAGGAGCCTGAGGCATTATGGAAAGGGGTGGAGCACAAAGCAAGGGGAGCCCTTTGTGGGGCTGACAACAAACGTCCCATGAGCCTCACCTAACTTGTACAGAATACATTCAGATTTACAAATCCCTTTCCTCACAATTACCCTGTGAAGTAGGTAAGTCAAGCATAACCATCCCCATTTTATGGATAAGGAGAGAGGGTCAGAGAGCTAGAATGACTTTTCCCAGTGACACAGCTAGCAAATTATAGATCTTTATCTGCAAGGGAACAGAGATCAGGTTCAGAAGAGTGACTTTTCCTTAATCACACAGCTACCAAATTTGTTCAGCCATTTCAGTTGTGTCTGACTTTTCGTGACCCCTTTTGGGGTTTTCTTGGGGCAGAGATATTGGAGTGGTTTGCCATTTCCTTCTCCAGATCATTTTACAGATGAGGAAACTGAGGCACACAGGGTTAAGTGACTTGCCCAGGGTCACACAGCTAGTGTCTGAGGCCAGATTTGAACTTGGGAAGATAAATTTTCCTGACTCCAGGGATGCCATTTCCTTCTCCAGTAGGTTAAGGCAAACAGAGGTTAAGTGACTTGCCCAGGACCTGAGGGCAGATTTGAACTCAGACCTTCCTAATTCCAGGCCTGATACTCTAGCTGCCCCAGCTAGTAAACTGAAGAATCATAAATCCAGTCCAAAACCCTTATTTCAGAGATGAGGAAACTGAGGCCAACACCACTTGTGACTTGCTCAAGGTCACCTACGTAGTAAGAGTTAGAGGCAGGATTTGAACTTGGGGCCTATGACTATAAATCCAGCTCCCCAGGTCTCATCCTATTTCCAGTGCACCAGAATGCCCCATCACTCCCCCGCCAATCCCAATGCTGAAATATGGGCAGGAACTTAGTTTGCGGTGGGGGTTCTTTGCTTCATGTCAGAGTAGCCACACTTGTGGAGTTTTGAGGCAAAGGGCCTCAGCGGTCACTTGTGGCATAAGAATGAGTGACAGCAGAGGAAAAGCCCAGGGACCCAATCCAGGCTCTGTTGTTTACCAGCTGTGTGATCTTGGGCAAATCTCTTCTCTTTGGACCTCTGTTTTCTGATCTATAAAATGGGGGATCACAAGACCTGCCCTACCCTTGTCACTGTGTCGCTTCAAGGAAGAAGTCAAAGTGCTTTCCTAGGAAGGCTGAGTGCCAGAGATCTTTGGCCCCTCCTGGTGCCTGGAAAAAAATGCTATTAAGAAATCCTTGCCCACTTCCTGGGATGGATCTCTGCCGCAAATGAGGGTAGAGCCGTGGCATGCCCAGCCCCCCGCGCTAAACCGGCATCTGAGGAAATGCAGTGAGAATGCTGATGTTGCAAAAAGGGCGCTGAATCTGGTGTTGGGGGGCCGTGGTTTGGGTCTCCACCACTCTCCATAACTTTTCAACTTCCTCTCCATGGCCCCTTGCTTAAGTCAGTCACATAATTCAACGAGCATCTGAAAGGGAAGCTCAGCCTCAGTTCCCTTGTTTGTAGAATGAAGGGATCAGATTAGATGACCTTTAAATCCTAGAGTCCCATGAGACAGCAGGCAAAATAAAGGATGGAAGAGTACAGGCAAATATCAGCTACAAACAATTTTCTGCTAAAAAAACAGAAAACAAAAAAATCAGAAAAAAAGCTCCTTTTTAAGCACTGCGATAAAATGTTGAGAGTCTATGAACTCTGATTCTCTCACTGCTTCCAGCAGAAAGAAGATTCCATTCTTTGTCCTTCCCTAAGACCAGGGAGCCCTAAACAGAGAGAGCATGTCCCATTTTCATATGCTCATGGAATCATAGATGTAGAGCTAGAAAGGGTCTTCAAAGTCCTCATGTCCAACGTGCCCATTTTACAGATGAGGAAATTGGGACCCAGAAGTGACTTGACAGTAACTGAAGCAGGATTCGAACTCGGGGCTTGCAGACTCCAGACTGCCTTTCCCAACGCCTGATGTGTCCTTGTGAATGCTTCATTCCTTTCTGTCTTAACTGTCTTTTTGGTCCAAAGTTCCCTGTGATAATAAAGGTACCACTGGCAAGGAAAGTACTTTAAGCATGTTACCAGCTAACACTGTATTGGGAAGGGGATGGCTAACTGATAGCCAGTGGACAGGTAGAGATATAGACTCAAGTCCCCCCACACCAGATCTCATAAGAACAAGACGAGGACCCAGGACAGGTGGTAGAGTGGGGAGGGTGGAGGGACCAGGAGGAAGAAGGCACCAAAGCTCTTCATCCCTCAAGAGGGCCGGCCTTGCCTCCAATGGCTTGGCCTGGAATTTCCCCTCAAAGAACCATTCCTTAGCGATGGAAGAGAGGGGATAGGGATTCTGATGGTGATAGAGCAAAGGGAAAAGAGCCCAGTGAAGGAGTATTCCCCTGCGGCAGGCAGAGTGGAAGCTTGGCTTGGGTGAAGCTACATGGTGGGGGAATCGTCTGGTAGGAGAGGCCCATTTCTCTGGGCTTTGGGAACTCAGCATTCCCCAAGCCTGCAGACGAGGCACATTCTGTGGCAGAGGTCTTGTCTGGAGCCAGCTGGGTAAAGTCATAGGCAAAAAATGGTAGTGGTGCTCACCTAAGAAAATGGCGGCCATGAAGGCTGTGATCATACTGCTGGCACACAGGACCCCGATGTGGGACAACTCAAGATTCTGTCCAGAGATGGCTTCCAGGATAAGGGCAACAACAGCAGCCAGTAGGCCCACAACTGTGGCCTGAACCTGTCAGGGCAGAAATCACAGGTCAGGGCTTGTGGAGGGAAAGAGCAAGGGAGAGGGGGAAGAGGAATGACATCGGGAAGCCAGAGGTAGATGGAGAAGAGGGGAGGAGAAGGGCAAAGAAAGGAAAGGGGGCCACAGATTTTTAGATTTTAAATAGACCTTAGAGCTCATCTAGTCTAACCCCATCAGGGCAATAAAGATGGTGAAGGCCTCGGGTTCATGCCATAGAAGGATCCATTAAAGGAATTAGGGATTTTAACCTAGAGAAAAGAGGACTCAGGGGAAACATAACAGCTAGTACAGTGTTTTCCACTGTACCATGGAGCCTCTCCACCTCCCTCCTTCTTTTGTTGACAATCCAAAACATGATCTGGCAAGTCCCTGAACTTGAAATATTCCCGATTCTGTTCCTGTTTTTAATGGAAGGGTTAAACCCTGACCATTCTGCCCTTCTTTTAGAAGAAGAAACCTCTTCCTAAGGCCAAGGTTAGAATTTCTTATTAAAGAAAAGTCCTGGGTGTAGCCTGGGGGTAGGGAAAGGTCACATATGCATATAGGTATATATAAAATGGAGGCACTCAGTAGATAGAGTGCTGTGCTTGGAGTCAAGAAGCCTCAGAATCCAGCCTCAGAAACTTCCTAGCTGTGTGATCTTGGGCAAGTCACTTAACCTCTGCCACTGGAGAAGGAAATGGCAAACCACTCCAGCACCTTTTCTGAGAAAATCCCACAGACAGGTCCACAGGGTTGGGAAGAGTCGGACATGATTAAAATGACTGAATAACAAAATACAGAATAGATACAGAATCCAGTGCTCTTGTATACTTATTGGCGACCCCAGCCAGGGATTTCTCCTCCCTTTCTCTTCTGTGCCTGACCTTCTGATAACCCCTTCTCCCCCTTGGAATGAAGGAAGCCTTTTTGCCCCAGAGCCCAGACCCTCTCCCCAAATGATAAGCATAATCTCACTGGCAGTCAGATCATAACAATTTGCTGTAAGAATGTGACCTAGGCACAATAAAGAAAGCAGATCTATTTTCTGTTAACAAATATGGACTAAAAGGTCATAAATATGTCAAGTGTGCTTAGGAGAATTATTACTTGATTCTGAGGAAATGATATCTAAGGAGCCAGGACTGAAAAACAAATAATGGTGAGAGGTCCAAGTTTGTTATCATGATTTGAAACAAGATGATTGAGTTTTGATAAAAAACCAAAAAAACAAAAAACAAAAAACCTTGGTATTTAGAGAATGTTGGAGAGATCTGAAAATAAGAACTAAACAGAAATTTGCTAACGGGATAGAAAACCTAAAAGTGAGACAGTGAAGCTGAAGAAGAAATTGGATAGTAAAGGAGACCAAAACACACGTTTAAAGGAATCAAGGTGTTCCTCTTTTAGCTATAAAGAGGAAGCTAAATTCAGGGACAAATTATTAAAAGAAGTGACTACATTATCATCTTAAGAATGGGGAGGCCCAGCTTGCTTCACAGAAAGCTCTTCTGCTGCTCTGAGTCAAGCAGATGCTGTATGCAGGAACTCTAGAACTTTTCCTAGGATTTCGGAGGACCCTTGTTTCTAACAAAGTCAGAGGATTAAACCCAGATGCAGGATACTTCCTATGTATACTTTCAACTGGAAAAACCTCTCAGGAGAAAAAGAAAAGCTAAAAAAGTTTACGACTGCTGATAGCCTATATTATACTATCAACAAATTCAAGTATAGATGTCAAAAGATCAATGTCACAAAAGAATTAGAACCAGTCAACTTTTAAGCTGGTGAAATTATGATGCCGCAGGAAAAATGGTTACTCATGCATACTGCACATAATATTGAATAATACGATTATATCATATTTTATCATTTGCTATGTATCATATATTTATATTATATAATCATATATTATATATTATTATATGAATTAAAAATTTCCCTCCTTGCATGTATGTACTATTGTAATATTTATTATGTTCTCTATGTATTTTAGATACTTTTTCTGTCTAGTAGTGCTTTGCATTATGTATTTACTTTATATACAGCAATATATTATAATTGGGGCAGCTAGTTGACACAATGGCTAGGTCTGGAGTCAGGAAGACCTAAGTTCAAATCTGACCTCAGACACTTGCTAGCTGTGTGACCCTGGGCAAGTCACTTAACCTCTGTTTGCCTTAGCTTCCTCATCTGTAAAATGGAGATAAGAACACTTACTTCCAAGGGTTGTTCTAAGGACCAAATGAGATAATCATTGTAAAACACTCGTACATACTAAGTGCTATATAAATGTTAGCTATTAGTGCCTAGTTTTATATTTAATATGAATGTGGATTTGGTATACCCTAAATGACTATTCAGGGACTGAAAAATATTTTGGCTACAAGGAGAAATGTAATGCCAACCTAAATAGCCCCTCCCACAGAGACTATCAATGTTGGTACTCTAAGAGGGAACCAAATCTTGGGAGAGTGGTAGTTTAGCTGTATTTTGGAGTGGTTTTAACTGTAATAGCTGGAGAGAAAGAAAATATTTGATAAGAGAACTCATCAGTCAAAGTCAAAGACTGAAGATACATTTCTTGAGAGAACTGAATTAAACTTATATTCTGGAGAATGAACCATACTGATAATTCTTGAGTGTCTGTCAACCTGAGAGAGCTGAATGGTGGGATTATGTTTCCAAAGTTGAGTAGAAGTCAGCAGTTACAGCTGATAGTTGGAAATGACTCTCACTGTGATCTTTCACACTGTAATACATTGTTGAAATATTTAAATATGTATCTAAATGACTTGTTAACACTTTTAATAACATTGCATAGCCAGTTCCATTGATATTTATTTAAGCCTATGAAACTAGAGTGTTTGAGAAAGAGGGAGAGAGAGAAGAAAGACTGGGGGAAAGAAGTTTATCCATTTATCTTATCAACTGGAGTAAGGATTCAGAGCTAATTAATTAATGATATCATGCATTTTTATTAATTTAGGAGGAAATATCAAATTTATTCCCTGACTATCTCAGAATCTAAGAAGAAATTAAGGTACAGAAGTCAAGTAGCAACCTGAAGAGTGGAGATTCGATATGGTTGTTAACTAGTTCCTGACATTCATATAGACTATAAAACCTACTACATGTACATGCCATTTTTCTTGATAGAATGTAAGCTTCTTGAGGGCAGGAACAGCTTTAAATTTTTTTTTCTTTATATCTTCAGTGTCCGGCACACAGTGGGTACTTAATAAATGCTGGCTGATTGATTTGACTAAGGCCAGCCCACCATCCACTATACCACACCATCTCTCCCCCCTTACCATTCCCTGGCCTCCCCAATGGTAGCCTTGTGTCAGTGTCCCAGAGTCCTCTGTTTCTGTGACCACTCCCCAACTAAAAAGATTTTTCAGTCAGATAGAAGGTAAAATTTATAATCCTTCCTCTGTAAATCTTCCCCCCTAAAAAAATCTCCAGTGATGACTCTGACAAATCCCACTCCCTAGAACATATACTTGGCCAAAATGAGAGATGATGTTGAACTGAGTGGCTCACCTGGATCAGAGCAAGGTTACTACTGATCATGGTTTGCTGCTGCCGAGGGTCATCAAACTTCCCAGTGTTAGCCTGCAAGCAAAAGAGAAAAAATAAAGAATCAATAGACTGAAACCCGGTAGACATATATAGTAACTCCTTGCTTCTATTCACAGCCCAGCTGGTTCTAAGGCAAGGGTGGCATTGGCCTGGCCTGGCAGGGCCTGTGAAAGAACCTTTCTAAGAAGTCTAGAGGCCAAGCTAATAAATATTGTTTAACTGATTCTACTGTTGTCGTTCAGTTGTTTCAGTTGTGTCCGACTCTTTGTGATTCCATTTGGGGTTTTCTTGGCAAAGATACTTTCCTTCTCCTGCTCATTTTGCAGATGAGGAAACTTTGGTAATGAGGGTTAAGTGACTTGCCCAGGGTCACACAGCTAGTGTCTGGGGCCAGATTTGAACTCAAAGTGGCCCAGTGTTTTGTGCACTGTGGTGCCACTTAGTCGCCCAACTGATTCTATTCCAACTCCTTTATCCAACATTTGAGGCCGTTCACAATTTGGCCCAACCCTTCCTCTCTCTGCCATTAATTATAACTATCATTAATATGGCACTTCCAGTTTTTCAAAGTGCTTTATGTTCATTACCTTATTTGATCTTCATGACAATTCTATGAGGTAGGTGCTATTATCATGCCCATTGTACAGATGAGGAAACTAAGGCTCAGAAAAGGACACTGACTTCATTGTTCCTTTTCAGGTCCTGCCTTTCTAGCTAGGGTATACTTCCCCTCTCTGGGCCTCAGATTTCCCATCTATACAATGAAGGGATTTAACTAGGGTTCCCTCCAGATTAAATGATTTACATCTCTATGCCTTCCCTGCAGATTCTAAGCCACTCTAAATCTCTTATGTCTTAGACACTTACCTGGCTGAACTGGACAACTCGGCACCTTATTATAATTACTCTTATTCACTAATTGCTATTTGGGGCTTCCCTGACTCAACTGAAAGTTTCCTGAAGGCAAGGAAACTCACTTGTATTTCTGTATCTTCTAGAACACCTGGCAATACAGTACCCTGCTCATGGCAGATGTTAAAGGAACACCTGACTGAAAGACACAAGGATATTTTGAAGGGAAAGGGACCTTCCTCCATCCCCCCATTCTTATTCTCTTTCTCTTTCCAACTTCATAGTCCCACCTCAGGCAGGAAATTGTTTCCTAATTAATGCTCCCATTTCCAGGAGCCTTTTAGAACTTAGGAGGTGCTTTCTTCATGACTAATGCCCATGGCCTGGGTAGTGCAAGGATCGTTTACTCTCGTTTTACTGGTGAGGAACCTAAGACCCTGAGGGGCCAAATGACTTTCCCAGAGTCATATGATGAGTGTCCAGCCAGGGACTCAAACTCTGGTTTTCTTTATCAAAACAGAGTAGACAGAGCACTGGGCTATCCTGCCTCTCACTCAAGCAATGTTCTCCCCTTAAATTAGATTTATAAACACCTTCCTTAAATCTGATTCATAAAAGCCCTTCCCCAGCTCTGGCCTTTGTAAATGAGCAGGAATCACCTTTATACCATCTGTGAGAAATGACCCTCCAGTCTCCGCTTGAAGACTGCCAATGACGGGGACCTTCACACCTCTAGAGGGAGCCCATCCCCTCTTTGGATAGCTCTCATTGTGAAGATTTTTCCTTGTATTGACTTTATAACCGTCTGCAATTTCCACCCATTTTCTTAGTTTTGTCCTCTGGATCAAAGTAAAGCAAGTCTTCTCTCTCTTCTGCATGACTGCCTTTCAAAGACTTGAAGGCAACCAACATCCTACCCCCACCACCAAGCTTTCTCTTCTACAAGCTAAACATTCCCAGTTACTTAAATCATTTCTCTTCTTCTATATTCAGTCATTTTTTAGTCATGTGTGACTCTTTGTGACCCCATTTGGGGTTTTCTTGGCAGAGATACTGGAGTGGTTTAGCTATTTCCTTCTCCAGCTCATTTTACAGATGAGGAAACTGAGGCAAATGGGGTTAAGTGACTTGCCCAAGGTCACACAGCTAGTAAGTGTCTGAGGCCAGATTTGAACTCAGGAAGATGAGCCTTCCTTACTTCAGGCCCAGCACTTTCTCCACTGTGCCACCTAGCTGCTCCCCCAAAACACTACCAGTTCCTTAAATCAATTCTCTTACAATGCTCTTGTGGTCCCCTCAACATCTTGATTACTTTTCTCTGGGTGGCTCATTATTAAAATGTGGTGTCCAGAGCGGAACAAAACACTTCAGATACTATTGGACCAGAAAAGAGTACAGACTACACTCTCCTTTGTTCCGGACACGATGATTTTTGTTAATTTAGCCTCAGACTGATTGCATTAGGTTTGTTTTAGTTGCCTCATTAAGCTGCTGGCTCCTAGTGAGCTTGAAGTCCAGTGAAATCCTTAGATCTTTTCCCAGCTGTTTTTTTTTTTTTAAACAACCAATACTTGTGAGGTAGGCAAAGTATCAGCCATCCCCATTTTATAGATGAAGTAACAAGGCCCAGAAAAGTACTCCTATCTTGTTCTTGTGTAGATAATATTTTGAATCCAAGTGTCCCTTTTAATTCTATACTCCATGGCCACGTAAGAGAGACTTTGGGCAAGTGACTTAGCCTCCATGGGCCTCAGTTTCCTCATTTTACAAATGAGGAGGTTGGAGTGGATGACCTGTGAGGTCCTTTACAGCTCTAAACCTATGAGTTATTAGTTATAATATCAGAGTAGCCATCTACAAGGGGAAAACAAAGTGGATTACAATGCCCAATTGCTCAAATTATGACACACAGTTGGATGGGCATTGCTTCTACTCTGACCCAAATCCATCTAGCATATTGCTGCCAATATTGCTGTCAATGCTATTTCCCTAAAATAGTCCTTTAATCAATACGGTTTGAAGGTCAGGAATGAAAGAGTCTGAAATGTTTATAGACGACTTAGGAGTCTCCCACCTGTAAATCACAAATACTTTTGTGAAACAGAACACAAGAAGGTGCTGAAAGCGCCAAACATCTAATGAAAGCATACAAAAATGAAAGTGATTACATCTAAGAACAATGAAATTACTGATTCCAAATAGAGCAGTGATTTCTGAAATTGCCTGCCTGTGTATGTCGGATCATCGACTGTTTAAAAGGCAAAGCAAACACCTAAAAGATATGGGGGAGAGACAAAGGTACTTTGTTCAACCACAAACACTGTAATCCCACCTCTATGAATCAACCGCCATTTCTGAAAAGTGAAAAATAGGGAGAAATAAAGGCATTGACTTTAGCCATGTGTACTAGAGTAATGAAGGGCCTTAAGTCCATGCCATGGAATGGAGACTGTCTAACCCAGAGAAGAAAAGAATCAGGGGAGATATGTTAGCTGCCTTCGGTATCTTCAGGGTCATCAGGTGGAAGAAGGATCCGACGTGTCCTATTTGCCCACAAAAGGAAGAACTAGAACCAATGGGTAGGAGTTGCAAAGACATTAATTTAAGGAAAAACTTAACAATGATCATTTTTCAAGTGGCATGGGCTCCCTTGGGAGGTGGTAGGCTTCCTTTTCTTGGAAGTCTTCAGGTTAAAGCTCGGTGACCACATTTAGCATATGCTATAGTAGGGATTCTCTTTCCCATACAGTTCACACTGGTTGGCACTGAAGTCCTTTCTATGCTTCTGTGTTTTATTAGCAACATTTAGCGGATGCAAAAATATTTACCACATTGAGGCTGCTGAAAGAGCCCAGAAACTGCCTTAGCCAGTAAACATTTTGTGATCTGCTTTCCAACTAGAAAAGAAATAGCAGCCAAGGGCAAGACAAGTTTAGGGTACAAGCTTGTTTGCAAAACAGATGATGGTAGAAGATCACGAGCAGCACTGCCAAATAAAATGAGGAAAAAACAGCCTGGAAGAAGTCAGGTTCGTAGAAAGTTTGGCGTGGGACCCGGCTAAGTCAGATCACCCTAGGGACATTTGTAGATGAAACTGGCAGAAAGATCACAAATGGACCCAAAATGAACCAGATCTACTGGAATTTTTATAATAATCTACTTACAGGAGTGGAACCACTGTGTTTGAACTCTAGCTCCTCCATGCCCAGCGGACTACAGATGGAAGTGTCAATGACATTTAAGAAGCTATAGTACACAAGGGCAGCTTTCCTTAACAAATATGTGCAGAAGAACACTGCACTGGGCCCTGGGGGCTGATGAAGAGGGAACAGTATTAAAGGCATCCAGAAATAGAATTCCTGGATATGTAAAAGAGAGAACGATGCTAAAAGAATGGAAAAGATTATGGACTATGAACAATTAACAAACAAAGTAAAGAGATACCAGTCTGATTTCTCATCTTTAGAATATGAGAATGGTCTACACACACAACAGAGATGTCCTTGATCAGGAAGGTCAAATAGGAGCCAGAACGGCCAGTGTGGTTTATACTTATATTTGTAATAATCCTGGATGTGGCCCAAACCAGAATAAAATGTAGTTAAGGGTTATTTAATAAAATAAATAAAATATAATGAAATTTAGAAAATAATTACATTTTAAAACTAAGCCAATATGTGGCCCACAGGTTTAGTGGCCCTGTTTCTATGTGAGTTGGATACCACTGGCCTGAATAAAAGCACAAGAGGGTAACAGGCAGGCAGGCTTTTGCAGATGCTTTTCTAAGGCGGACAAACTCTTTTCAGTTGGCCAATTGCCCAAGGGGCATAGAGAACGTAAGATTCTCCTGGGTATGTTGTTTACTGATTTTTTAAAAAGCATCTGACTTAGGAGAACAAGATGTGGCCTTGAAATCCCTCCTCAGACAAGGCGTCTATCTCCCCCAGGTGTGAGTTAAAGTGATGGCCGTGACTTCACCAAAATCCTCCTCTGATGCTTCAGGGACGGCATGGAATGACAGTGTGGAAAAGCTGTCAGGGTCACTGTCAAGTGAGGAGGGTGGCTGATGGTCTCCAAGAATTTTTCCAACTCTAGTTATGAGCAGCTCGGAGCAACCAACCACACCTCCCAGGTGAAGGATTACAGGCGTGCAGGGCTGGTTTCCCCTTCCTTTCATTTAGAGACTACTTTCTGCTTCCCAAAAGGCCTCCGGCAGGTCCTACACTGAGCTAGAAAGGCTTTGTACTGGGGCACAGTGATGGGATGAGGGTCAGTTGCCCAAGGACCAGCCTCATTAAGTGCAGAGAAGCTCACCCACCTGGGCGGCTGCCTGAGAGATGAAAGTGTTCAGTCATGGTATGGGTGGAAAGTGTGGGGTCACACTGATGAAATGATAGCTTCATCAGAGAACCAAGAAAATCCTATCTTCTCATTCTAGCCTGTAGAGATGCTTTGAATGAGATTATCTCCCAAGTTTCTTTCAAATCTAACACTATCAGGGGCTCCAGATTCCTTTTTTTTTCTGCCCCTGTGACTTTCTGGATCCTTACCAGCTACTCTGGGGTATTTCTCTCCCTTTAGGGAGAGATGTACTTTAAGGATCGCCTGTTCTGTTTATCTGTTGGTGTGATATCAGTTCATAAATTCCTATGTTAATGGTAGTCATTTTTTTAAAAAAGGGTCTTAAGCCTAATGAAGTAATCTCTAGTCTAGGCAGTCACAAGGATTTTCCTCATTTGAATGATATGAGTTGGAAAATGGCAGGGAGGGTGGGATTGGCCTCCCTGTCCAGTCAAATTTTAGGCTTGGCCAAAAAAAAAAAAAGGTTGGTTCTAGCTTAGTGACCAGCCTATAGTGTCACCTTAGATGAATGGCCTTCGTGTCATTTTGTAAGAATGTTCAGAATGAAATTTGATCTGTCCAGATCTCCATGGTAATCAGCCCTGCTTCTGCTCCCCCTTATCATCCAGTCCCCTGCCTCTGATTTCTATAACATTCTGTTCCATACCCAAACCTGTTCTCTTGTTCCTTCTCTTCTTCTTTAGTTCTAACTTTCAGTGAGACCAAACACAGATCAGGTGGGAACTAGAGCATTTCTGAGTCTGGAGACATAGTAGGGAAGAATTGGCTGTCATTCTTCCCTTCCCAACAGCAGTTTTGTAGGGGTCAAAAAGCTAGGGGGTGGGGGAGGGGATGATATGAGGCTTGATGGGATGAGAAAGGTGACGAGGAGAAAGGATGGCACAGGAAGAGCCTCAGTTCTCTCCTCTTTAAAATGAAAGGACTAGATGCACTAGATGACCTTAAAATTTCTTATTAGAAACATAAGCCCTTGAGGGCAAGGACTATCTCACTTTTTATCTCTGTATCCATAGCACTTAGCATGGTGCTTAATAAATGCTCACTGACTGACTTATTCTGGCTCTAAAATTCCAGGATGCTAGCTACTTTTTTTTTTTCTAAATCAAGGGTTCTTAGCTTGAGTTCCATGGCCTTTTTAAAGAAAAAAATTAATTAATTAATTTTTAGCTTTCAACAATCACTTCCATAAGTTTTTGAATTTTAAATTTTCTCCTCCTCCCTCCCCAAGATGGCACGCAATCTGATATAGGCTCTATACATACATTCCTATTCAACATATTTTCGTATTAGTCATGTTGTAAAGAAGATTTAGAATCAATAGGAGGAACCGCAAGAAAGAAGAAACAAAACAGAAGGAAAAAAAAAAGCAAACAGTACGCTTCGATCTGCATTCAAACTCCATAGTTCTTTCTTTGGATGTGGATAGTATTTTCCATCATGAGACTTTTGGAGATGTCTTAGATCCTTGCATTGCTGAGAAGGGCTAAGTCTGTCAAAGTTAGTCATCGTACAATGTGGCTGTTACCGTGTACGACGTTCTCCTGGTTCTGCTCGCTTCACTCAGCATCAGCATGACCTTTTTTTTTTTTAAACGTTGATAACTGTAGTTCAGTATCATTGTTTCAATAACACCGGCTTCCTCTGTAATCCTGTGTATCTCAAAACCTTATTTTGCAAAGGGCCCCAGAGATTTCACCAGAGTGCTGAAGGTGTCCATGACAGAAACAAGATTAAGGACCCCTGACCTCAAGATTTGTTGCCTAAGATTGGCAGTTTCTACCTTCATTATGGGCATTAAGAAAGAGCATTGATGTGACAGCCGAGGACCAATCACTTGTTTCTTTGACACCCAGCTACTTGAGGGCTGCTAGAGTGTTTGTGCTTCTGGGACAAGAGGCCCAGATGTGAACTTACAGCTGTGGAGAGCCGGCAAGCCAAAGTCATTTCCAAGTTCCCTTTTAGGCCCAAAAGGGAAGGTATCAGGATTAAGAGTTCTTTGATCTCCACAAACACGGTCCAGTGCTGCCAGGGAAAAAACAAAGAACACATTAACCCCCTTATGTGTGTGGGTACATGTACCTAAGACACAATTATCTACCTGCTGTGGCAGTACGGCACAGTAGCTAGAATGCCAGACTTGGTGTTAGGAACACCTGGGTTCAAATACTACCTCAGATGCTTTCTAACTATGGCTAAATCACATAATCTCTATATGCCTCAGTTTCCTCATCTGCAAAGTAAGAGATTGGAATTGATGGCCTCTAAGGTCCCTTCCAACTTGACATCTATGATTCTAATACTGTGACCTTAAGTATGTCCCCTCCCTTCTCTTGAGCCTCAGTTTCTCCACCTGTAGCACGATACAAATATATATTATACCATAAAATAATATTTTCCCAGCCGGCCTCATTTTCTTCCTCCCTCCCCTTTCCCCCAACCAGAATGTTAGAGTTGGAAGAGACCTCAGAGACCAGCTAGTCCAATCTGTACCTGAAAAATGATCCCTCTTGCAAAATACCCTGAGGTCCTTCAGCATAGACTTCCAGTAAGCGGGAACTCATTAGCCCCCAAGGCAGCCCAATCCATTTTTGGCCAGCTCTCAGTATTAGGAAATTTCTCTCTCTACAATCCCTCTCTTGTACTCCTTTTAGAAACAGCATTTACCTATGTGACATTTTCAGATCAAATTTCATTCTAGACATTCATGCAAAGTAGAGTCAAGTCTCCTTAGTGGAGGTCACAAAGGATGATGGTTATACATCTGGGACCAGAACCCCAGGGACCTGACTCTGAGTCCAAACTGTGCTCTGATCAACTAATATTTAATTGGCCAAATTTGCCCCAGAATTGTTGAATACCACCTGAAACATGAGCTTCCAGGGGCCAAGGAAAGAATTTAGGCATTTTCAATCCCAGAGGTCAGCCACTGCTCAAAGAAAGCACCTCAGATTCCCTAGGTGACCTCAGTGGAAAAAGTTATCAAAAACATCTGCTCAAAATAGAAACTCAATTAGAGCCAGCATCTTCTCATCACTTTTAATTAGCAGGTGGATTTCATCCTAAAGGCCTGGCCCTAGGGGAGATGGGTATGAAAAAAGGGCTTCGGGAGATTAAGAGATGATGAAAATGGAAGAGTGGAAATGAGATAAAGGACAATGATCTGGGAGGAAAAAAAAAAGACCTTCAACTTAACCAGGGAAAAGCCAAGGTCAAAGGGCCCAGAGAAATCCAAGACCTTTTTCTGTCCCCAGGGTCAAGGTTACAGGTTCAAATTCTAAATGGGGCCAGTTATCTTCCAGTGAAGGCAATCTATGTTCCTTCTTGACCACTCCATAGTGTTGGACACGGTGACCACCCTCTCCTCCTGGACCCTCTCTGTTCTGGGTAGTTGGGACACAGATATCCCTTGAATTTCCTCCTGCCTCTCTGACCTATCCTCCTCTGTCTCCTTTGCAAATCATTCATATCACACTCCGTAATTGTGGATATATCCCCAAGTTTCTATCTTGAGCTCTCTTCTCTTTTCCTTAAGCGAGGAAACTCTCTTGGTGAATATATCACCTCCCAGAAGTCCAATTAGTCTCAGGCAGCTAGGTGACCACAGTTCATGGAGCATTGGACGTGGAGTCAGGAAGACCTAATTTCAAATCCTACCCCAGACACTTATTTGTTATGTGGCCCCGGGCAAATCATTCAACCTCTGTTTGCCTCATTTTCCCCATCTGTAAAATGGGGAAAAAGCACCTCTCTTCCTGTATGGTTGTAGGGATCAAATGAAGGGATATATGTAAAACATTTTGCTAAACCTTAAGGAACTATAAGATGCTACCCATTGCAATCATCATTATCATCATCTCTATAGAGGATTCATAACTCTATACATCTGCCCTCTCTCCCTCCCCCCACCCCAACTACCAGTAACCTCCCTCCCTGTCTTGCACTCATTAGTATTTATTATGTATGTGTGCATGTTGTTGTTGTCTTTGTCGAGTTGCTTCTGTCACGTCCAGCTCTTCATGGACTCATTTGGAGTTTTACTGGCAAAAATACTGGAGTGGTTTGCCATTTCCTTCTCATTTTTACAGATGAGGAAACTGAGGCAGACAGGGTTAAAGTGACTTGCCCAGGGTCATGCAGCTTTAGTAAATGTCTGAGGCTAGATATGAACTCAGGAAGATTAGTCTTTCTCCACTGAACCACCTAGATGCCTGTGTGTATGTATAGATAAATTTTGACACATGCAGATATACATATCTATACATACATTTACACAAATACATATATATACACAGACACATAAATACACCTATGTATACATTCATATATGCATATGTACACATGCCATACATGTGCTTGTGTCAGCTAGGTGGTATGTGTGTATATATGCACGTGTGCAGGTTTATATAGGTATACAGACAGACAGACATAAGCTAGGTGGCACAGTGGATAAAGTGCTGGGCCTGGAGTCAGGAAGACCTGGTTCAAATCTGGCCTCAGACACTTACTAGTTGTATGACCCTGGGCAAGTCACTTAACCCTGTATGCCTCAGTTTCCTTATCTAAAAAATGAGCTGGAGAAGGAAACGGCAAATCATTCCAGCATCTCTGCCAGGAAAACCCCCAAATGGGGTCATGAAGAGTCAGATATGACTGAAAGGACTGAACAACAGGAAATACACACACACACACACACACACACACAACTCTCTGATAGGCTTTGTGCTCCTTGAGGGTAGGAACTGTTGGGTTGGTTTCTTTTTTTTTTGGTCTTTGTATCCTCAGCACCCAGCACAGTGCCTGGCACACAGTGGGCATTCAATAAAAGCCTGATAAGTGACTGTTTCTGTGAACACACAGTCTGAACTTTCTCCCTGCTCACATATGATGTGTGTGTGTGTGTACGTGTATGTATACACATACACACACACAAACATATACACACACACACATCTGTATACAATTAAATACATACCTTTGGGAGTATTACCTGTTATAACTACAAAACAGAGCTGGGAGGCTCAAAGATGAGAACAGCTCTAAGGTGCTCTGTGAACCTTAAAGCATTATCACAGTATAAACTAGTATGATTATCTTAGGCCAATATCAAACAAATTATCCACAGGGGGGGATGGGAGAGGGCTGAGGGTTGCTTAGGGAAGTCTGTCTCCACTGACAGAAACAAAACTCAGGGCATTTTTCTTATTCAGTCGGGGCAGGAGCAGAGCAGTCTTCCTACAAGTGGGAGAACCAAATACAATCAGCATGCCAAGATATGGGACACTGTACCCAAGCAGAGTGGGATGCCATGCCCAAGATTGCAGATGGCCTTATAGGCAAGATCCAAAGAGGACTGGAGCATAGAACACTGGTGGATTTCTAGGCCCCTGCGCATTCTAGGCTCTGTAGTTTAGGAGAGGACGGTATCAGCTGGGACCCCTTCCTCAGCCCCCATATTACTGGGGGTCGGCTCCTCTCTGGTTTGCGTCAGGTAGGGATGGTTAATACATCAAATTCTTCGGGTTCTGTTAATGTACCAAACAGCAACACTTCGGTCTGGTCTTTAACCCTTTCACCACCTGGCTCCAGAATATCTCCAGGGGCTGACTTAACTCTCCCCTCGAGGCACTCTACATTCCACCCAAACCAGCTCATTTACTGTTCCCTGAACAATCTGTTCCATCTGTCTCTGGGTCTTTTCATTGACTTTCTCCCATGTCTGGATGGTTCTCCCAACTCACCTCTGCATTTTAGAATCCCTAGCTCCCGCCAAAGTTCAGTTGAAGGGCTACTTCCTATAAGAAACCTTCCCCTATTTCCCCATTGTTGGAGCTCTGCTCCAATTTGTATTTGAGAGACAGCATGGTATGGTGGGTAGAGAACTAGCCCTGGAGTCAGGAAGATTTGGGTTCAAATCTAGACTTTGTCATATACTGACTGTAGGATTTTAGGTAAGTCACTTAACCTTCTTGTGTCCCAGGAAACTCTTTACAATTGTAAATGCAGAGGAAAGTGTGGATCTGGAATGGCAGAGGAATCTCCTTATACAGAAATCCAAACACTGATGATTTTTTAAAATTTATTTTTCTGTTTTCATATTATTTCCCACCCCCAGAAGAAAATAATCTCTTTGAGGAACAGGATGATGGCATTTTTATCTTTGTAGCCCTAACAATTAACACAGTGTATGATACATAGTGAATGTTTAATAAATGCTGGTCAGATTGAATTGATTTGGAACTAGAAAACACATTGGAGCAGAGAACTGAGAACACAGCACTAGAGAGAGGTATCAAGGTGTGGGGGAGGTAGGCAGGGCTAGGGGCTAAAGAGGCTCCAGACTGGGCTCTGCTGCCGTCCTGCCTGGGGGACTCTGGACAAATCAGCTTTACTTCAGGGCTCAGTTGGTCTGGGAAATGAAAGGGTTGGACAAGACGATCTCTAACATCCCTTCATTCATTCCTGGCATTCCTTGATAAGGTGACTCAGGTGGCTGACTTTAGGTAAAACAGTTCTATGTGTCTACTTCTTGTAATTCCTGATGGGGTCCCTGGGTCAAGAATGGCAAAACTGGGATATTGGGGAAGTTGGTTACAGCACCCACAGCCTACCAGGTACACGATATTTTCATTCTCTCTCTCTGTCTCTCAGTCTCTCTCTCTCTCTCTTTCTTTCTCTGTCTCCCCCCCCTCTGTGTCTCAGTCTCTCTCTGTCTCCCTCTCTCTCTGTCTCTCTTTCTTTCCTCCTTACCTCTTTCCTTCTCCCTCTTCCTGTCTCCATCATGTAAAACCTCTTTGTAGATAGGCATTCAAACATTCGCCATCCAAGCCAGTGGCAGATGATTTGAGAACACTAGGAGTGAGGGGGCTAGGGGGGAGGTGTTGCTAGATATAGCAGCCTGCTATTCCGAGTTACAGCTCAGCTTTATATAACATGTTTTAAGGTTGGCAAAGAGCTTTGGAGAAGGTATCTCATCTGAGACTCACAACAGCCTTATGAGAGGCAGGTGCTATTTCCACCCTCATTTTAGAGAAGGAGAAACTGAGGCTCATGACTCAGAAAGGTTAAGTGATTTGTCCCGGGTTGCACTGCCAATATCTAATGTGGGATTTGCACCCAGGTCCTGACCCCAAATCTGATACTCCTTCTGTTATGCTCTCCTGACTCTCCGATACAATAAATCCTCCTCCTTCCCTCAGTAACAGTAATATTAATAGCTAATATTTATATAGCACTTGAAATACATTATCTCATTTGATCTTCACAACAACCCTGTGAGGTAGGCTACTGTTATCCCCATTTTACAGAGAAGGAAACCAAGGATCAGAAGGTTAAGTAACTTGCTAGGGGCACACAGCTGGCACATGCCTGCCTCAGGTCTTCCCATCTCCTATTCTAGCACTCTATCCACTGCCTCACTGAGATGTCTTGCTAGCAATCAACAATTACCAGGTACTTTCTATTTGCCAGGCACTATACTATGATACGTAAAGAAAGGAAACTTCCCCCCTCCCCCAAGGAGAATGCCAGGGAAGTAGCCTGAGAATGCCCAGGAGTTGCTGCAACTCTAAAAATGCCCTGTTGGTTTTCCTATTTACCTGGTCTGAAGACACACGAGCCTGTAGATGGGTATGAGCAGTCAATCACAGGTGTAATAACATTCCCATTTCCCACCCAGAGCCTCTCAATTTACATACTGGCCATGCAGGCCAACCATCCATCACCTATTCCTAAATGGGCACTAGCAACAAAGCCCTGGGGATTTAGGACAAGGGTGGGGGAAAGCTTCAGTTCCTTACAAAAGTCCTGGGAGCCTGCTTCCTAATGCCACTGAAACATCTGAGCCTAGAAGCAGAGTGTAGGACAGTGGCCTTAGCATGAGCTGGGGTGGGCAGGGGCGTCCTGATAAGGTTTTGTCTGTGTGATAGGTATTTCCAGGTCAGCCTTAGTGACCTGGTCCAGACCAGCAAGGGGGGATGCATTAAAGCGACATTCCAGAAACAGCCATACATACTTGGACTTCGTTTGCCAACAGGCCTGCAGCCACCATACCCATGATGGAAAACATAAATGGAAACAGGACCTGGCACATGATGGAGCTGAATGTCTCAGGGATGAATCCACTGGGGGCCCTGATCATCTCACAGGAGAAGCCTCTCAGCTTTTTCCCCCGGAAGCGGAATTCCATATTTATCTGGGTGATGACCATGATTGGGCCTTCACCCCATGCCCATGGGACGAAGCAGCAGGAGAATCAGGCGAGGAAGCAAGGCCACTTTCTCTGAGGTCAGAGCGGATGGGTCCCTTCCTCCTTCTCCCAAAGTGTTTGCTCTTCTCTGCTCCCAAGTGAGAGCACCTGGAGGATTCCCCCAAGAAGCCAGTTCAGGGAAAGGGGCGAGTTCTCTGTCAGGTCTCTGTTCACGGGCTCTGCGCTGCAGCAGAGGGCAGCTCTGAATACCCCTGAATGGGGAGGAATGAAATCCAAAAGCAAAGAAAGAGAGGGAGAAAGGGCCCAGCTCTGACTTGGCACCCACACTCACAGACTCTTTACAGGTGGCCCACAGTAGTGGTCCCGTGAAGGCTGTTCCACATGGGCAGTAGCTGTTCTGTGACAGAAAACCTAAAATACAGGAGCCAGTAGGAGAGGCTTCTGTCCTGCTCCCAGGCCGAAGCTTAACTCCCTCCTAAACTCTTCAGGACAAGAGTTTACTCTTGGCAAGGCGAGTCTACTCTGGCCTTCGACTCTTGTCTCACTCTCTTTTCCATGGGAAAGGGAAAGTCATTAGAAGCAGCTGAGAGGTGGGCGGTGATCGTCTTGGTGGCTGGTCCCACGTGATGCTGACCTCTTCTCTTGGTGGGGAAGGTTGAGAAGAAATTTCATCCAAGGAGAGTCAGTTCAGGCCAGCTCTAAAGCTTCTTCAGTGGATTTTCATGCCAGAGAATGCCACAAGATGCCAAGAAGATAAAAAATGTCTCTTATATCCTCCTCGTCCCCCTCTGTCTGGTTTGTGAAGGCCTGAGATCAGTGATTTTTTGTTTAGGAGAGTTTGGTCACCTCTCCAGGCCCCAGAATCATTTGTGATCGTAAAAGATCTCACAGACTTCTCCCAAACTAGGATAGCGGGCTGTTTTCCTCAGCTCTTAACATCCTGTACCTTTTAGTGCTGGTGTTTCCTTCATCTTAGCATCAGCCAGGCCCAAGAGCTGACAGGCTGGGGCAGGGAAAGGACATCCTGTTCAGTTCTATTGTTTGGTGTCTCCTACTCATTCCGAAGATTGTGTGGAATGGAATGCCCAGCCCCAGTGTGGCCTATCAGAGGAAGCGGGCCTGAGGGGCCGGCCTCAGCTCTGATCTCATTGGAAAGCGCTGCTCTCTGCACCCCACCCCTCCACTCACACCTCAGGTCCATGGAGGTGATGGGTGCGACAGCCCTCTGGAAAGTGGGGAGTAATCTATAATTGAAAGGGAAGGGGACACTACCTTCTCAATCCCACAGCCCTTCAGGAAGGAAAAATTATTAAGTGGTTGGGGCTACAGGTATGTAGGTGACTCTAAGGCATCAGATGGCATCTTTGGGGGCAAGGAGAGAACCCTGAAGTTCCCAAAGTCTGCCCCCCCATTCCCTCCCACCTGTCCCCATCAAAAGGAAAAAAAACAAGAAAGAAAAACTAAAACCTTGTTGTAAATATTCATAATCAAGCAAAACATTCCCTCATGGGCAGTGTATATCTCGTTCCGAACCCCAAGGCCATCACATCTCTACCCCTTATCATCAGTCCTCTGGCACTGCATCAACTCCCTCATTTTATATTTTATAGATAATGAATATCATTCTATATTCCTAGATACATAGAATGCCCAGAGAAGTGAAGTAATTTGCCCAAGATCACACAGGAAGTTTAAGTAGAGCCAGGATTGGAATACAGCTCCTTTGACTCCAAATCCAGTGCTTCTTCCACAAAGACCACACTTTCTTCTAAGCAGATCTAAAGGTCATTGGGTGGAGTGGAGAGTTTAGAAGTCTTACTTCCCATAAACACTGCCCTAGGGCTCTGGAGCAGGGGGTTTTTCCTGGCTTACTCCAAGAAGTAAGGATCCTGACACAAACATTGATCTCACATCACCATCCCTTCTTTTCTCCTTTTATTGCTAGAGGGTCTTTCTGTCTTTCTTTCTTTCTTTCTTTCTTTTTTTTAGGCAATTAGGGTTAAGTGACTTGCCCAGGGTCACACAGCTAGTAAGTGTCAAGTATTTGGTCTGAGGCCAGATTTGAACTCAGGTCCTCCTGACTTCAGGGCCGGTGCTCTATTCACTGTACCACCTAGCTGCCCCTAGAGGATTTTTCAAAGCAGAAGGACATTTGCAACCAGGGAGGAGCAGATGTGGGGTCCAGGCCCCATCCTTGAAATCACCCTCCTGGACAATGTTAACCAAGTCTCTCTTCTGCTTGTTGGTAGATTGGGAGCCCTTTGGGCTCCCTGGCATCATGGCTTTTCCCTTCTCTATTATTCCTGGTCCTTTCATGGTTTCAGTTGTTTTGGAGCATTTTTTTTTTAAAGGAATTGACCTGTTTCTTCACTTTATTTGCATCACAGGGGAGCTGAAGATTAGATCAGATTTACACTAGAGAGACAGGGTAAAAGTGAGGAGGGAGAGAGCCCAAACAGCTGGGGGACAGCAGGAAATCCTTCTTGGAGGAGGCAGCACTTAAGGGTCACTTAGATTTCCTCAATTCATCAATCAATGTAAAATTATTAAACACTTACCCACTCAAAACTGAAAGAATGCCTATCCCAGTATACCCATCTATACAAGCTAGGCCACACTGGGCCTGCTGAATTTGCCTGTAGCACCCACTCATTTCCCAAATCAGTGATCCTTTTCTGTCCTCCAGCCCCATCCCTCCCAAATGCCTCTCTGGTCTCCTATTTTCATATGGCCTTGATCACAGCTGGTTGTCAACTAATCTCTCAGAAAGTAGTTTCAGTTATATAATGATGATGGTGATAATGATGATGATGATGATGATATAGAAGCTGGTATTTACATAGCACTCTAAAGTCTATAAACTTTCACCCAGCACAGTCCCCTGGCAGATAGTAGGCATTTAATAAAGGCTCCATTGATTGCAAAGTCCTTTATGTATACTATTTTCCCTTCACAACAACATAGGGTATTTTAAAACCCCAAAGAAATTGAACTCTATGGCTTAAGAACAGGTGATTCAGTTGATCTTTGGGCTGGAAGGCCTTCTCCTACATCAGGGCCTAATTGTGCCCCAAAGGGACTATTTGCCTATTTTTTTCTCTTACCTGGATATAATTCAAAAACATTCCAGCCATGGTCATTCCCATGCCTGCAAGCACAAAGGGTACGAACACTTGAAGGGCAACGATCAAAGCTGTTTCTTCCTGAGGCTTTTCGGCGTCTAACAGATGTCTCTCGCGGGAGGTCCATGGCACAGCGTCAGCCAGGGGCTGCTCCTCACTTCCCAGCTGCCCTTCCTTCCGCCTCTGTCTTGCCTCCTCTCCTTTCATCTTGGGTCACTTTGACATCATGTCATTCATTCACTCTGGGGCTATAGGAAACAAGACAAGAAAAGAGTTTCTTATAAGATGTCACAGAAGAGTAGCTGCATTGAAGAGGTGAGAGGAAAGAGTGTAAGATCTAGAGGAGGAACAGAAGGCCCATAGAGTCAGTGACCTGTACAGGGTCACAGAAGGAGGTGACAGAGATACCATTTGAACCCAGGGCTTCTGATTCCAAATCCGGTGTTTTTGCCACAACACCATGAGGTCTCCAGTCTAGAAGCCCCAGAGACACTCTGTCCAATAATCCCTTATGTTATTAGGAGTGTTGTATGCTTTCCTAAGTCTCCCAAGATATCATTTCACCAGAGCCCCATAGCAACCCCAATCTAGAGCCACTTTTTCTAACAGGGGCTAGGGAAAAGGTTTTAGGAAGTCCCTAAAGTCACATACATATAGCTCAGGAGAATTACGGGCCCTTAGATGTGGAGCTAGAGGGAAATTCAGAGGCCAGTTAATCCAACCCCTTCATTTTAACAAAAGTAGTAACTGAGGACCAGAGATGGAAGTGGACAGCCTAAGGTCACAAAGACAGTGTTGGGGGGTGTGAGATTTGAACTCAGGTCTTTTAACTCCAAAGACAGTTCTGCCCTTTTACAAATAATAATCATACGTTGAATGAAGTGAGCAGAACCAGGAGAACATTGTACACAGTAACAGATATGTTGTGCAATGACTAACTTTGATAGACTTAGCTCTTTTCAGCAATGCAAGGATCTAAGACATCTCCAAAAGTCTCATGATGGAAAATGCTATTCACATCCAGAGAAAGAACTATGGAGTCTGAATGCAGATCAAAGAGTACTATTTGCTCTTTTTTCTTCTTCTTCTGTTTTGTTTTATTTCTTCTTTTTTGTGGTTCCTCCTATTGGTTCTAATTCTTCTTTACAACGTGCCTAATGTGAAGATTTGTTTAACAGGAACATATATGTTGAGCCTATATCAGATTGCATGCCATCTTGGGGAAGGAGAGGGAGAAAATTTAAAACTCAAAAGCTTATGGAAGTAATTGTTGGAAACTAAAAATAAATTAATAAAAGAAAAGAATAATAATCATAGCAAGCACTGAGTAGTGAAGGGGCCAAGTTTGTCTCTGTTAACCCTGAGTTGGCTCTTTCCTGTTCAGAGCTCTCATCCACAACTCCTAGGAGCCATTTGTGATGTAACTAACACTTGCCTGGGAGTGAGAACTGTATTATTATATTTGCAGGTGTAAAATAAATTCAGCATTGTAAAAATCGATCACTAAAGGATCTATTAAGCACCTACTATGTGCTGTGGCAGACTCTGAGGATATGGACAAAGAATAAAACAATAACTACCCTCCAGGAGCTAACAATTTAGTAGAGGAAACAAGAAATAAATATGTAAGTAAATAAAGTATAAAGATTAAATGAATAAATATAAATAGGTACAAAGTAGTTAACTACAAGGGAGTTGGGGAGGGAGCCTGCCAGCAGTGGAGAGGATCAGGAAAGGTGCCACAGAGAAGGTGGTATTTGAAATTTATCTTCAAGGAAGAGACAGACTATGAGAGAGGCAGACAGAGGGCAGGCATTTCAGGCATGCAGCATGGCCTGGGCAAAAGTAGAGAAATTGGAGATCGAGTGTTGTGTATGAGAGAAGGAAGGTCAGTTTGGCTTGGTCACTGATGTGGAAAGGGGTATAGTGTCCACCAGAGCTAGAAATGTGACTTGGGGCTAGGTTATGTAGGACTTTGAAAGCTAGCTAGAAAAGTCTGAATTTGATCCTAAGGAAATAGGGAGCCACTGAAGTTTACTGAGTAGGGGAGTGACACGGTCAGATCTGTGTTTAAGGAAAATCACGTCGGCAGCTGTGTGAAAAATGAACTAGAATAGGAGAAGCTTGAGGTATGGAAGCCAATAGGAGGCTGTTGCACTAAGCCAGGCAAGGGGTGATCAGCACCTTAACTAGAATGATGGCTATGAAGTAGCGAGAAAGAATCAGATGTGGAGGTAGAAACTGAGTGAATGATTGGACGGGTGGAGTACATTTGTTAAGATACTGTAGTTTCTAAGCTGAAGTTTCCACATCTATAAAATGGGAGGAATAGCCAACATACATTTTCAGCTTTTTATTTCCATATTCCACTTCTCAAACTCCACCCACAAAAATGGACTATTCTCCATGCCCCCTCTCTTCTCTGCCTTCTTCCATCTCCAGAAGATGGTCCTCCTTAACCCCACTATCTCCCCTTGTTGATAATGTCCTTCCTTTCAAAGCCAAGCTCAAGAAACCATGGCCAACTCCTTCCCTCATCCCCAAAGTGATGTTCATTTTCCAAATGTCTTTTTCCTTTTTTAAAGAACTTAATCATCAACAAAGGGCAAAAAGGAGGACTGTCCTGTAGTGAGGAAGATCTGAGTTAAAATCCAGCCTGAGACACTAGCTATGTGACCCTGGGCATCACTTAACCCCTATTTGCCTCAGTTCCTCATCTGTAAAATGGGGACAGAATGGAGGAGGGCATGGCAAACCATTCCAGTGTCTTTGCTAAGAAAATCCCATGAACAGTCTATGGGATCATGGAGAGTCAGACAAAACTGAACACCATTTATAACTGAACTTCTGTAACATAGTCTAAGTATGCTACATTTAATAAGGTAGTAGCAACATTACCCTGTTTGTGCCTTCTTTTTCTTTTTTTCATACATTTGTGATTTATTGATTTTTTTCTTTCCTTTTTTTCTTTTACATTTTTTTTGGGCAACTCTTCTTTGCCCTTTTTACCTCCCCCTTATGTTAGATATTTGTATACATCTTTCCCTCCACAAGACTTAGAGGTTCCTTGAAAGCAGATGGTGGAGTGAAAGCAAGGACTCACCTAAGCCATCCCTCAAACCCCTTCAAATACCTTTAAAAACTGACTCTGAACAAATTCTAGACAGAGTGAGGCAGACTTCCAGCCCAAGACAACCCGGAAGGTCGACAGGAAGGGTCTGTTGCATCAGCTGAGAGAGGAGCGCAACCTAGCTCAGGCCTCGTGAGCGCAGACTCAGCCCCAGCAAACCTGGAGCGGGCATTGGGAGACTGAATCACCGGCAGCAGCGGCAGTTTCCAGACTTCTCAACCCACAAATGACAAAGACAACTTAGAAGGTCAGCAGGAAAGGTGTGTCAGACCTGGGTGGGAGAGTTGCCCAGTCCAGCCTTGGCCCCAGCAAATCAGGAGCAGGTCATGGGACTGACTGAATTAGCAACAGCAGCGGCTACTCCTGGAGCTCTCAGCGCACAGACAGAATATTTGAAAGTCACCTGTTTCAACTTCTAGGAGCCAAGATGGCAGAGTAAGTAGTAAATCTCTCTCATCCTCCCTTACTGACTTTGAAAAACCCAGAGAATATTGCCCCAGGAAAAATCCTGGAATAGTGGAGCCAGCAGAAAGACGAGGTACAGTAGTCTTTTAGCTAGGGAGGCTAGGGGGATTAACAGGAAAGGTCCCTCTTGCTATGGCTAAAGGGGACCAGTACAGGGCAGGAGGCGTTCTAGCAAGCCAGCGGCAAGCCCCACCTCAGCAAACCAGCAGGAGATCCTGAGCCCCAGGGTGATGGAACAGGCAAGCGCCCACACCAGGCACACACCAGCCACCACCACCAGCTCCAGCTCAGCACCAGGTAAACTACCAAATTCCTCCAGCCTCCAGCTGCCAACACCTGAAGCCCCAGCACATAAAACCAGTAAGTAGGCTACCAGCCCCCAGCACAAGAAGCCTGGGACAGTGTCCCCTGTGCCCCAGAAGCAGAGATCAACTTTAAAAGCCAGAAAAAAGGCAAACAACATGAGTAAGAAGCAACAAAGAAAAACAATGACCATAGAGAAGTATCTTTGTGACAAGGAAGATCAAAACACAAACTCAGAAGAGGACAACATTGTCAAAGTACCCACATTTGAAACCTCAAAGGAGAACATGAAGTGGTCTCGAGCCCAAAAAGCCTTCTCGGAAGAGCTCAAGAAGGATTTTAAAAGTCAAATAAGAGAGGTAGAGGGAAAACTGAAAGCAGGGGCTGTGGTCTATTGCTCTTTCTATTCGTAGGCCCCCCTACTCCAGTGCCTTCTACATAAATAACATTTGTTAAATTGACTCCTGCCTCTCACTGGCCATCCGCCAGGCCTGGAATGCACTCTCTCCTCTAGGACCCCTAGTTTCCCTCAAGAAGCATCTCAAACATCACCTTCATGTATGAAACCTTTCCTGATCCCAACTGCTAGTGCCCTCCTTTGACTCACTATCCCCATGAGCACAATGGATTTTCCAAACCTGGCCATTGCTCCTCCAACCTCTTTCGGCTCCCCTCCCCCGTCTCAGGTGAGAACCTCACCTCATTTTTCACTTAAAAAAAAACCTGTCACCAAGAACTCTCTCTTCTCTCTTCCTCATTTCACATCACTAATATGCCAGACTTTCTGCCCTTCCACCTGTTTCATGGGAAGAAGTAGCCCTTCTCCTTGCCAAGGCAAGTCCCTCTACATGAATAAGAGATCCCTTTCCTAACTGCCTTCTCCAGCAGATTGCTCCTCATCTCAACGTGTCAAAATGACGCTGATTACCTTCTCTCCCCTTCAGAAAACCTTCCCCTCTTCTTAACCTTCTAATTAATTTGAGAACCCCACCATCCTCCCAGTCACCTAAGCTGGAAACCTCAGTTAATTAATTCTTCACTCTCTCATTCCCCCCTCTCCAATGAGTTGCTAAGTCCTGTCGATTCTCCCTTTCCAGCCTCTCTTTTATGTGCTCCCTTCTCTCCTCTACCACGTGGTGCCACCATCCTAGTGTGGGTTCTTATTGCCCTGTACCTAGACTAATGAAATTCCTTCTGCCTGGTCTCCCTTCACATCTACTCTTACACCAGCCCATCCTCCACTCAAATGTCAAACTGATCTTTCTAAAGCACAGGTTGGCCCATGTCACCTCCTCCCTTCCCCAATTCAGTAAACTCCCATGGTTCCCTATTCTACCCAGGATCCTCTGG